AAATTGATAAACACATTTTTTTTTTAATGACTTATTAGTGTTTGATAATAAGTTAGTTAAATCTTTTGTTTTAATGTCATAAGAAAATGATCGAGTTTAAAAAATTAAAAATATCTTTTTTCACAAGAAGTTTTTCTACGTTTTCTAGTTTTCTATGTCTAGTGATGAATAAAATGTCTAGTTTAATGAGTCAAATGTTTGAAGAGAAAAATGTATAATATTTACAAATGTTGGAATAAACTTTCAGCTGTAAACTTAAATTAATTTGTTTTCAAATAACTTTTATCTAACTTAGATACTTTTCAGGATTGTCATAACAAAATCTGAATTAGTTCTTTGCTCGACTTAAAGAATCGTAAAACTTTGAAAAGTTATTTTTGAAATCTACTGAAATACTTTTGGTAATCTATTTGGTAACCATTACTTGTGTGGTGTAGGTACATAATTTTTGCCATCGTGTTGCCGTTTGGTAAAAACTATTTATAGCACAGTTATCGCTTTTTAAATTTTTTATGGAAAACAGAATTTGTTTGTAAATTTGTAACATATTTTCTGTGTAAGTTTTTTTGATAAAAATGTTAACAATGTTGTTGTGGACGTTGCTTTCTATAGTAATTGAACATAGCCTATGCACTGTAATGTATTGCATTGGGTTTCGATATTAGCTAGTCAGCTCGCGTTGTTTCCAATTTGTTGTTGTTGTGTTACAAATGCAATGTGGTTTAAAAGGAACGTCTTGCTTGCCCAACGACTGGCACTTAACAACATTATAGTTTTCGGGCACATCCACCGACCACCACGCGATTTATACCTGTCGAACAATGCATTAATTTATTAGTTCTGCCCACGTCCGCCTTAAAACTAATAATATTCGACTGGCGTTCCCCTCTCGAAGTCATTGAACATTAGCGAATTGCCCGTTTAATACATAATAACGATAATAATTATAATATTGTCATTGAACAAACGATTCTCAATGACGTTACTTACAAGAGTTCTGTGTTTCTACTCGTGCCTTACATACGGGTGGGCCTATTTTAGTTTTTTTTTTAAATAGTTGCCAAAGCAGTGAAACGATGATTAGGTATTGGAAATAAATGGAGAACCGGGGTTATGTTTGGAGAGCAAGTTTTAAATAGAGTAGGGAAATCTAAGAAATTATTAAGATGGTTTAGGAAGAAATTTTGAAAGAAGAGATGAAAGTGATATTGTAAAACAAGTTAGGAAGATCACGATGTAGCGATTTAGAGGTAGAGGTAAACCAAAGAATAAATCGTAAAAAAAAAAGTTGGATAATGTTATAAATAAAAAGATAAAGTTGATAAAGAAGTAATGACAAATAAAAAAATGTAGAGAGAGAGAGGATTTAGATCGAGGCCGCATCAAAAAAAGGCTACCCTGATTTTTTACAATTTTTAATTTTTGTTGAAAAGCGAAACACGGTATAAATTGAAATGGTTTTATGCTGTTCTTATAGTCTTACAGGGCTGCAAAAGAGGAGTTTCGAAAATTGACAAATTTTACATTAACAAAAAATAATATCATTTCCATGCTTGTTCTAAATGTCTATACCGAGGCCTATTGGCGTTGACCGTTTCGACTGAATTATTCTTATCAATAATACAATTGAAATGACTTGCTTGTATTTTTGTTTTTGTGGCTATAACACAATAACACCGAGTCGTTTCTGAAAAATCATGACTCTAGACAATTAGCCAGCGTTTCCTTGTACTTGAGTGTGTCAAGTTTTTGTTTTGAGTTTTTTAACTGTCGTTTTTTAAAACGTGCAACAGTTGTGTCGTGCCTTAGCTCCGGACGGTAGTCGAGTTCAAAGTGTGTGAACTCAAATAAAACTTCTTCTTTTTTTTGTTACTTGCTGTTATCTAACCGTTCAATCTCACTTTAAAAGGGTTTCGGCACGAACGACCGGACGTGTGTATCGCACCTTTTTCCTTGTGATATTATTTAGGTCATTTATTTATGTTATGTACTTTTAACACGCAAACCATAAAAAATCGACAGATAATTTTAGACGTAGCTCTGGAGAATGCACTGATATATATGTATATACAGGGTTATCCAAATTGCATGTTACAGTGTTTTTTTTTTCAATGATGTAACAATTATGTAAACCATAAAAGTTCCTAATAAAACCCTTAATTGGTATATTTGACGATCAAACATTTTATTGATTATTTAGTAAAACGGTTGCCAATTCGGGGCATGTGGACTTTCTTGATTTTTAATTTTTGGAGAATTATTTAAAATCTATATTTTATTATTAAGCGAGTAATTCAAATAGTATAAAAATGTAGTGGGAATAATCTGTTTTTATGCTTTGTGTAGTAATTTTTAACTATAACAGATAAAGTTCTGAAACTCTTCACTGCACTTCTACATTTCAAGGCGATTCTAATACGACACCAATTAACAAAATGCATTCATCGGTTTCAGAGATTTGCGTTTCTCGAAGAAGAATTTTAAATAGATAGTTTTTTTTATTAAATTAAAATATTAAATATCTAATAATTCAAAATGAATTGTAAATTTTTTTTTTTTCGAAACTTTTTTCTAACTACAAAAATGTTTTCATAGAAAAAATTACTACAACGTGAAAATTGTATACACACGATAATATACATATTGTTATGTTGTTGGCTTTATACTTTTGTACTTGTGTGTACTCGACACAGTAATCGACGTTTAAGCCGAAGGTCGCAAGTTAACCGCCAATGTCTCGGATGGTTTTGTATTATTGTTAAAAAAAATAAACCTAGTTAAACCGTTGGAGAGGAGGTAACGCTGCCGCGCCAATACCTTATCCGGCGACTCGTATGTACTGTGTAATATAATGATAATAAATTAGCAATTGGCTTTGCATAACATAATGCGGTTCACGCCTTATGTAATTTTTTGCAACCGTCGCTATTGCAAAGACACAAAATATATATTAGGTATTCAGGGTTGGCATAAATGTTTCAAATACATCTTGTATTATTACCTATATTTATAAATAAGGAACAAAAAAAAATATAATAGGTAAGTTTAAATGGATACTTTTTGAGTTCTTAGCATCAGGAAGAAAGTGCTGCTGATAAGTTTATCGGGATGTAATAAATAACATTTCAGTCCACCCTTAGCTAAAAACTTAACAAATATTTATTCAAAACAGTTTAGCGACCAGTCCTTATTTTCATTTCATCATTTTGTTTTTTCTCCTTAAATCTAATATATATTATGAGATGTTATTTGACTTTCAAAAGTTCCCTTCGAAAATTATTCATTCTTTCATCATTTTTGTTCGTTAAATGTAGTAAGGATTTTTTTTTTGAAAATTGTCTTGGCTAAAACAATTATAATTATAAATAAACAAATTTCTTTAAATTTGATTATTTATTTGTTTTGTGCTTCTGTTCAACGAACACGATTGAATAATAAAATAGTTGAAATTAAAAATAAAAATTTAGCGGAAAAAATATATTAATTTTTTATTATATTTTATTTATTATTATAAAAAAAATGAGAAACGAAATGTGTTCCTCTAATTACTTCATTTTTGAAGCTGGGACAGCAGGAATTGACTTGGTCTCATTTCTATAGCGTGTTTGTAAATAATTTACCTTTTAAAGAACTTTCTTTTTAAGCACTAACCTTTTTCAGCTTTTGTATGATGACTTTGTATGAAACGCAGAATAAATAATAATTTTAAAGTGTTGGTTTCGTGTGGGCGACGCTTTTTGTGCGTTTGTCATTCGAACTATAACACCAAAACAACACTTTAAAAATTAAACCTACTTAAAGTCATCAACCAGTTCAATGTTTTTTTTTACCGCCATTGCTATTGCTGCAATGTCGCCGTTTAATCACTTAAAAGTTAGCGTAGAGGTCAAATCCTACTCTGGGCTTAAATTGGTTTAGTTAAAAAGAAAGATTCAAATAATATTCGTATTATGTTTAATGATTAAAAATTGAACTTTGTAATTAGATTTAAAGATATTATTTAAAAATGTAACATGGAATAGTGACTTTTTAAAAAAAATACTTAACAAAAACTATGTATTAGATTATCTATGAAAAGTATGGTGTAATAGGAATAAAGACTGGTCGATAACCAGTTTTGTTGACTATAAAATGATTTATATGTCCAAACGCACCACTTTCTTCATCTCTTAAACTTTCAACGATAACAACTTAAAAAGAAAAGCTCAAAAAACTAGTTATCGACCAGTCCTTATTTTCATCGCATCGTTCTGCTTTTAATAGGTTTTTAAAATATGTATGTAGCTATTTTTACACTAAATATTAAATTTATTTTTTATCCTAAGTATAATATAGATTTTATTATGAACGTTTTTGGCTAACACAATAAATATTGTTTCATTGGAAAAAAATCACCGTACAATTAAATTAGGATAACTTCGTATTTAAAAGTTATAGAAGTCGCTAAGAAGTTCAACCACTTTTCCTTTTATTTATTATCCGCTTAATCCTAGATCTGTCACAAAAAAAAAGTGTATGGCTGATTAAGTACCTTAAGCTTTGGATGTTCGCGTTCATGCTCTAAAAATAACCGAAACTTGCATCCGTTGTACAAAAAACACTATCTAAATGCCCTTTAAAATAATTTTCTGACTTCAATATGTTTTTAACAAATTACCCACCTTTTCTTTGATAAACAACATAAACGATTGAATTTCTTTATTAGTTTTTATTTTTTTATTGCTAAACAATGTCCCTCATTAACAACAGTCGTACTTATCATATCAGTTATCTGTTATTTTTGTTTCCTCTTAGCTTGAAAAAATAAATAAAACCCTAATAATTTAAATTTAAAAAAGAAAATTGCTGGTAGTTTTTATTGTGTGATACTTTCCTAGACTTTGGTCGGATTTTTAGGGCAACATCGTTTTTATTAGGTATTTCCTTTCTCGCAAATGTCGCATCGTGTTTTATCGTGTTAATTATAACAGCAATTAATGTTGTAGTTGTTTTTGTTACAGGCCAAACAGAGGGCAACGATCAAATGGTTACTGTCCAAGGCGTACAACAACCGTATTCCGGACAACGTCAGAGAGCCGTTTTACAAGGACCATGACGTAAATATTTTTGTGGCCTGTTTGTTATCTGACACGATTGTTATCTCCAAAGATTGGTTGGCAACAAATCCCCATTCTTCTCTGTTACTTTACCTGTCACCTTTTTCCGGCTACCTTCCTTCAAAATTTCCTCGTACGAATCGCACCCTTGGTCCATCACTAACCTGTATATCCCAAACTTCCCCTGGCGATTTTCACCTTCCGCATGCCCTTCTTAATTATAATCCAAGTGTTCCATCATGTCTCAGTTCATGGCCATTGGCAAATCCGTTAGTTTCTTCTTTTCTGGTTACATTACCTGTAGATATCCTGTGCATTATTTTATAGCGCCACATCTGGAAAGCTTCTGGCTTTATTAGTGTTTTTCTTTCGCAGCTATCCGTATTTCGCTGCCATAAAGCGTTATACTCCTAACGTATGTGTTTGGGAGAATTTTTTTCCAATATGTCGGCTAACATTTCTTGAAGTAAAAAAGGCCCTTTTTTCGGTTAAATCCATTGTAGCTGGATATATTCGCTTTTTGCTTCTACCAACCGCACTTGATAACTCACATACTTACAAAGTATGAAAAATTCTTCCACCTGCTCAATTTCAGATTTCCTCGTAAATGTACTCTTAACCTGGCGTTATTACTCTTACTACTATATTTAATAATTGCGAAGAACTTTGAACTTCTTCATATTTGGTTAGTTTATCGTCGTTTTTCAATAATTCCAAACATTATTTGTAATTCTTATTCAATCTCTGGTACTATTGCTATTTCGACAGGAAACCATAGCATACAAATTATTTTTATCGTTCATCTTTGATCTTTACACTACCATGAGTTTGCTTTTTATTATGTTTATATAAGACACCTGTCTTATCCTTTTTCTTATACGTGCTTCTTCTTCGAATTCGTCTATTTTTAAAACAGCTGTTTAATTTTGGTACATATTATAAAACAGTCCCCTTTCTGTGTAATCTACTCCAGCTCTCTTTAATATCTTGAACATTGCCTACCAGTTTACATTGTCAAATGCTTTTTTCTATATCAGCTAGTGTTAAAACTTACTATTCTTACAGCTAGTATTGCCTTCCTCGTACCCTTGTTTTTTTTTGAATCCACACTGGTTTTCCGACAACTTTAATCTTAATTTCCATTTTTCTTGACATCATTTTTGTTAATATTTTTGACACACGCTTTAGCAGGCTTTGTTGTCCGTTAGTGATCACATTCAACCTAACCTAATCTAATCGCAGCGTTTCATCATGTATACTTCCCTACTCCCAAGCACTCTTTTCAATCTTTTTGTACATGTTCATCTTCATACATTTTTTTCCCTGTTGCCATCATTCTCTTCCTGTTCCATATTTTGCATTGCAGTTACCAAAGAACTTAATTAATGTATATTTTTTAAAACACAGATGCAAGAGCACCCGAAGCCGCCTATAGTGCATTCGTTGGCTAGCGCTGAGCTATATTGTCTGGCGTTGGGAAACATATACTCAGACCCGAATTACCATAACCTCAACCATTGGGGTGTCATCCAGGCGCTGAACAAAAAAGGGGTAACCGTCAACGACCCGTCGGTCACCGAAGCCGTTCTTATACAAACCGCTCCTTTGAAACTTGTGAGTTTGACATTTGATTTTATTATATAATAAATAGTCAATAACAATAATAATTTTAAAACGAGGCATAGTAGAGACGGATCATATTGCTTGGAAAATCACTTACAAATAAACGCTTCAATGCTGCGAATCTGTAGATGGTTCAAATACAAAAATCTCTAAAGACATTTTAGTAATTGACACTTACATAGTGACGTACGTTTGTTTAATGATTATTATAAATTCAATTATTGCCTAGTCGACAACTAGCTTTGAATAATTATTCTTAGAGCTAACGTCAAAAAGGTCACGAAGCGTTAGGAATTTTGGATAATCCGTCAGAACAATAAATAGTTACCATTATCATGGCTTTAATATACGACGTTCCCTTTCCGTCGACATTTTCCACGATAAATATAAAAATTGCAGCGCAAATGGAGCCAATCAAATAAATTATTTTTCCAAAGATAATATTATTTAAAAACATTGATATCTCTTTACATGGCCATTTTGTGAATTGATAATATAATAAAGTGGCAGTATGCAATAATTTGATATATATTAAGGCCATGATCGTTATACCTAAAGTCTAGTAGTGATACTAATACTAAACCCAATTTAAAAATTTTAATTAAAATGTATCCGACCTGTTTTGTTTTTTAGCCGTAAAAGGAAAATCTATGAATCGCGTTAAATTGAGGTAAAATAATAAAATTACTCATCCTCAGTATACAGTGAACATTCGAGGTCTGGTTGATCTCGAGAAATGTAAGCACGCCACCGTAGACCACCGTAAATTATCAGTTAATAATCAACTCTTTCTAAAAAGAAATTTGTTTCGTTTATATGCACATAGATATTAATTTGTTAATTAATCAATTTTGTGTTCGGGTGGAGCTGCAAAGGTGTTAGTTTTAAAATTATGTGCTTTTTTTTTTGTGTCTTTACCCACTATAACTTTTTTAATACTGGACCAATTTCTCATCAATTGATCGAGTTGGTATTTTGAGGCGCTCCTGTGAGATAATAATGGAAGCCGCCACATAGTGGGAGGAATCAAATTTTTAGCTGTTCAGTATAAAAGGGTACAAGAAAAAAAAGCCGGAAAAGTCAGTTTTTTTAGTCTAGTAATATCATGTTTTGAAATGTTGATAATGTTTAAAAAATATTTAAAATACAGTGTGTCGAATTTTATAACACCAAATTCACCAATTTTTTAGAACTTTAAATATACAACGGTTTTCTTTCGATGTCAGTTTCTTAGCTGTACAAAATTAATGAAAAATGGCTATAGTTTAATTCGAAATTAAAAAAAAGCCAAATTTGAGCAACTTTCCGGTATAGTATTATTAAGTACACATAATTTTTGCAAAAAATAAATAATAATTGTGACCCCCTGCCTCCTAGTACCCATTAGAAATTTTCCTATTTCATTATTTATGTAAATAAAATAATATTAATACAAATCAAAACACTTATTCGGTACTGTAATATATGTTGATGCATTTTTCTTAAAAAAATGATTTTTACACTAAAATAGCTTAAATAACTGAAATGTACAACCTATGTGCACATGCAAGTGCTTGGGTTAAGTTCAACAATCTGAATGACCCTTACCTGTTTGTATGTGCTCAGTACTTAATTATTTTTGTACGTTGTGATATATATTTTATCAACATATAATAATGGTTATAGTATCAATAATTACGATACTAAAATTTTCTATTTTTGCCCAGCTTGAAGTTTGATTCCTCTCACTATGCCCCATGAACATAGTCGTCGGTTTGCTAATCAATTAATTTTGTTTTATATATTTAAGAGCGCTCATATGGCGATAATGGAAGCCGTCATGACGTTGTACGCCAAAGAAGTGGCTACGCCCAACCGGGTGATGGCTGCCATACAAAGACTGAACCACGTTCCCCAAAGAACCACCGTCGTCATGCCCGAAGACCACGAACAAGCTATATTGGTGTGGGTCAATCGTAACGTCGAGGCGTTGCGGCATCGAATTATAACAAGTTCACAAGTAATTCAATCGTACTCCATAAGATATCTAAATAGAAAAATACATTTTATCACAAATTTGCTCAAGGGTCGACTCGCAATTCGTCCTCTCCTTCGCGCGTTCATCCCAGACATTTTGGGCTCGGCCACCCTTATTCTAAAACACCATTAAACACAATTTTCCACTGATCAAGCCTCGCCTGTATTACCTCTTACGTGTTCGTTCCTTATTCTATATTCTCTCATTACTCCGCTCATCCACCTGAGCATTCTCATCTCCACTACACTCATTATGTGTTCTATTATCCTGTCTATCGCCCAACACTTAAGTCCTTTACGTCTCATTGGAATTCTCTTGTCACATAAGATGTTATACAAAAGATCTTCAATTGTTTAAAAATCTCAACTTTGTCTACTACGTCATCGTAGTTTATTCGTCTTGTCTCGTGTCTTCTTCCTCCAAACTCCTTTTTGTATTCTATTATACTTCTACTAATCCTTGTCCCTATTCTCTACTACTCAAGCCTATTGTTGAATTATTTCAAATAGTCTCCTACTAACTACATCATCTACAAACATTACGCCCTGTATTTCCTTTGTAACTTCGTCCATTACAACGGAAAACAAGTAAAGGATCAAAGCAGAACTTACCGTCGAAGTTAACATGCGCCCCCTACTCCAACTCTAAAATCTTTTGTTGATCCACACACAGTTTTGACAGTCCTATTTGTGTTTTCATCCAATATGTGCTCTATCAAACTAATATACGATTATAACTTTTTTTTTCAATCGGAAGATTGGTTAAACTATTGATGTTTTTCTCCATTTTTCTCCGTCGCTTATAGTTCTTTTGAGCTTCCTATATGTTTTTAATCTGGTTTCTTCCGTCACTTGATAAACGGTGTTCTAGGACTTCCTGGTTTACCTTCTATTATTGTGGTTATCTAAGGGTTTCTTCTCATTTTTTAGTGTATTCCACATTGATTTCAGGGAGTTCATCCGCCTAAAAACCTCATTGTTTCTTACTTTTTCTGTCCATAGAACTCTTAACGCTCTTCTCCAGCACTATATTCGAAAGACTTCTATTTTGGCTTCCCCGGCCTTCACTATAGTTCATGACTCTCCTTTTAGAGCCACGCTCAACACAAAACTTTTTACGAGTGATTTTTCAGTGTGCACTCTTACTTGTTTTTGTGATAAAACGATTTCTTCCTATTATATAAGGCTTGTTTAGCCTACACTGTTCCACTTATTATGTCTATGATTAATTTTCGTGTGATTTCCTTTTAGCGTGTCCTTCGTTTTCTTCAGCATATTGATCAAGTCTTCTTTGTTATCAAAGCATTTCCACAAACTTGTCCACCTCTATCTTTATTCCTACAATGTTTCCTCATTTCTTTCAACGTTTCTGCTTCTATAATATATATTTTGAATAAGGGTGGCGATAACGACGACTATAAATAACTAATATCCTTTTCTCGATGGTACTTGAATTTGCGGCAATTAAATTTTACTGTTTTGTTTTTAACTATTTTTATGTATTCGTTACAGGAAAATAATTCATCGGTGCTTGACATTGCGCACGTAAACGATTTTCACGAAATGAGCGATGGAGCGGCCGCGGCGGCGTTGATATCTTTTTACTGTCCCGAAGAATTGCCCTGGCAGTACATAACCACGTCCAAAGCGCCGACCTCGTCGGACTGTATAAAGAACTTCACCGTTATCAATGAATTTTGCGACAACAGCTTACCGTTTAGCATATTCCACATGAGACCTCAAGATGTATACTACATAAGAGGGTATACAATTTTATTCACATGTTTTGTTACACGGTGTGTACGGTGGACAGAAACCACACACAAAGCGGCGAAAGCCAGAAAGTATATTTTCTCAACATTTTCGTTTAACCGTATAAAGTATTTTTTAAGTCTGAATATTTATTTATTAAAAAAACCGCTATCAAAATAAACAAATACTTTCTAAAATGTAGAATAGGCATAATTTAAATAGAATAAAGAAGACAACTCACGCCTGTGATGAAGCAAGTCATCTGTATGTGTCTACTAAACGACGGTAAAGAATTATTTTCAATTAAGTTGAAATGGAAAAATGATAGACATTGGGTTTAATCGGTCGCAACCCATAGTTAAGTACACGTGTTAAACTTAATTTTTTTTTACATTTTGAAATTATAGCTTTTGGAACTTTTTGGAACTCTTTAATACAAGTCTTTTCTATTCTAAAATACAAATGCTCAAAATAAATATTTTCTTAATTTTATATATTGTAATCGTTATTCAAGTACACCCAGACATATCCTAAAAGAAATATCCGTACGAATTAAGTTAGACTCTGATTTTACATAGATTTAAATTTTACCCATTTTATATTTTAGATTGTACTTACTTTTTTTTTTGCAAGTATTTTTTCAGATAAATTAGACGAACAAAAATTCTAATTTTTAAAAAATAAACGCTCAAGACTTATTAAAGACTCGATTAAAGTGTATGGTTGAAAAAATGTTTTTGAGAAAATTTACAAACTTCTTCGCTAAATTTGCATCTGACCTCAGAAATTTTTTTTTTTTATTTTTCTTTAATGTATAACTAAGCAAAAGTTTTTTGTATTTACAGCTCTATGAAAACCAACTTGATTGCGTTTTTCGCCGACTTATTCAACGTTTTGGAAATTCATCCCGCCAAGTGTGTGAGTTTCAATCAAGGCAGCAGTGAATTGGCAGAGGGTAGGTCATTTTCGCTTTTTAACTCCAACGATGATATTAAATGAACGCTTCTTCGTGGACGTGCAATTTGAATGGGATGCGTTATTTTATTTTGTGCATACATTTACCTAACCACCATCTTTTCAACATCACTACCCCTTCACGCCAATTATAAAAAAAAACAATGGCAATCTAAAACAGACTACACCACTCACTTCTCCTAAAAAATTAGTTAATAATAATAATAATTAATTTTATAGGAATATATTAAACCAAACAGCGTCGTCGAACATGTTTTATATTTTATAATAATTGCACGTCCACTTAATTGTTATGAGTAAAATTAAATATGTACTATTATTTGTGAAAAGCTCTGTTTAAGTGTATTATATAAGAGTAGGCTAATTAGAAAAAAGTGTATGTTTTAATGTATTTCATGTCGTGAAACAAAATCTGTATGGTCTAATAAATATACTATAACAAACATAATAATATTATGTTTATTGTATATTATATTATATTTAACGTTTTCAACTCGAACAATACTTCGGGCTGTTTTATCTCACTTTAAAAAATATTTATATACATATTTAATAAAAAAAAGTGTAACCGATAACAGATTATTATAAAAACTTTTAGTTGCGTTTAGCTTATATTTATGTTTTTGTATATATGTATTCCTTATTATGAACTAAACAAAAATAACCCTAAACGATTATATGGACTTTTTTATTATTATTTTTTTTTTTTTTTGCGTTTGGTAATAGCGTATCCGAGAAATAGCCAAGGAGTGGCGCATAAACGTTTGTTGCCGCAAGCGATTTCTATTATACCCGATCTCCGGAGTAATTTGGATTCACGTTCAACAGGGTTTACAGGTACCATCCGAAAAATTTCCAAGTGGCTGGCTAACAGTTTTTTTGTTTTGTTTTTGAACAGCTTCTTAAGTTCAATTTTCACCGCATTAGCATTTCTGTGTGTCTACACCTGTTTTTTTTTATATATATACATATAATTTACCTCATAATTTATTTTACAATGATATTTTTCTATCCAGTAGTATGTTTTATGTGTTTTTCAACAGCTTGCTGAATTCTTAACGTTAGTTTGTACAACATGAATAGGAATATAATTGTTTTTTTTTTCATTTATACTCTATTTAAAATAATATGTAGTCTCATTGTGTGTGTTATTATGATTGGAGTATAATGTGGCCTGTGTAGTATTAGATTTTTTTCTAATAATAATTTACGTTTAAAATATTTTGTGTTTTGCATGATGGTCGTCTTAAGTTTCGTTGCTTGTGTTTGGCTTTTGTTTGTATATAAACTTGTCAAAAATATTAGGAAACAATTTGGTTTTTAAAAAAACTAAAATCTACTGCCTTAATTTTTTTTTTATTTTGCTAAGTTAATAAATAATTTTTATGTTATTTAATGTTTTCAAGTATTTGAAACTTTTTGAAATAAAATTAAAAAAAAAACAAATATACAGTATAGCCAGTAGAATGAAACCAATTTTAATTTCAAAGTACTATTATAATAAGAAAACATAATATAAGATATAAGTATAGTTTTATCTTATTTTTATTGAGTATAAATTAAAATTGACAACGAACCAATAGTATTATGTTTAAAATGGAAGATAACAAGCACCATTTTCAAATTTTTACCCGTTTAGTTTAGTGTCTTAATGTTATTGATTTACACTAGTTATAGAGTCACGATTAATTAAGTAGTATTTGTCTATCTAGGCATGGCACATCACAATACTGTCAAAAAAGTTTCCAACACAGTAACGCCACAGTCGGAGGGAAAAAAGAACGGCCGGTATATTATACAAAAAAAATTTAAATATTATAATTGTTTATTGTTTAACTTTTTTCTTACTTGTTGTTTTTATTTAAATTTTAGTGTCAGCAACGATGACCAATTTGTCGTGCACCGCAATCGATCGGTGCTGACGTTGAACTCAATGTTGAACTCCAGCAACGGCGAAGCCAGCAACGATATGGCTGCCGGCAAGCCGACACATTGGGAAGATACGAGGAAACAAACCTATGCCGGTAGAAGGTCGAGAAGAAATTCGTTCTCTGAAGATTCACAGGTATAAAATTAGACTTGGAAATCCACAACTGAGGGTGCAGTTAAAAAAAAAAAATGTTTACATAATAATATCACTTATAGCTTGAGGTGTATGAAAAATTTAGGTCACTTTATTTCAAGTCTGGTCTGGGTAGTGGTCAGCGGATAAGGAGGAGATGGGGACAGGTTGTGGGTTGTGAAATAAATGGGATAGTGATAAGAAGAAGTTGATAATCCCCGGACAACTGATAAGAGATTATTGATAAGTGAATCAGCTGATAAGAGAGTATAGAGAATAATTGGATTTCGTCTTAAGACATATTCATGGTCTATTGTTTTTCCCACCAAAAGACAAAGAATTTTTTTTAATATTTCCTCTGCTTTAAGTGTAAAATCTAAAGTAACCGAAATCAGTTAATAGAAAATGTGTAATACCCACTACAGAAATAAATAACAAAAATTGTTTCATATGCTATCTTGGATAACCGGTTGTTAATCTCGTCTTAAAACATCTACCTTTTTACTTCCACTACTTTTGGCCCAAAAGTTCTATACTTTTAGTAAGTAATCTAGAACTGTTTTTCATTCCAGGGGTATTAAATCTTTTCGAGTTGTGATTGGGAATTGATTTCTTCAAACTTAGTTTTTTTAGACTTGAGACTGAGTTAAGGTGTTTTAAACAAAATTCCCAAATCCTAATCCACAATAGCTTGTATATAATAGTAATTAAACATTTTTGTTTTTTTTCAGTTGACTGTTGAAAATTTTGGAGGGTCTCAAGATAATTTGCATTTTCTTGGTCGAAATCCCGATAAGGAACCTGCAATTCACGTAGCTAGAAAAGATAGTATAACGAGTAAAATTACCAATTCGCATTGTCAAGAAAACGACAGCTCCGGCGTGCAAAACCTGCTGCAACACTCCAACACTAGTCCAGGTGACGATTAATAATAAGGAAATTCATTTATCATATTATTGTAATAGTTGTAATATAAATTAATAAATTATAATAAATGTAATTAAATTTATTAGTATTATTATTGAATTTGGATTGTTTTACATTTTAATTTCTGTAGCCATGTCGCGAGTATCGAGTGATGCTTCGAACAATAGTCAAGGTTTGCAACGTATGTTGTACGATAGTTTTGACGACGTGGAATCTGTCATTCAGCAACCAATGCCAACCCTCAAACGTAGTTTATCTTACGTCGACACCAGTCAGTCTACTTTAGCGCCCAGCACGACGACATGGCTTCAACAGAGTTCTTCGTCGGCAGCTCACAGCGAACATGGTACGCAGCAGTGCGATTACGCTATTCGTATACAAGTGTATTTACGATGAAATAATATTTTGGTTATTGTAGGCGATGATTCCGAAAGTGACGGGTCCGTCATGAGCGCTCAGTTACTGAATTTAAAATTGAAATTGGAAGAAAAACGACGACAGATAGAAAACGACAAACGTAAAATAAAATCGTTAATCAATCAACAAAAGCAACAAGTAGGAAAAGCCGCCTTCTTTCAAGCCGTCACACGAGTAAATATATTACCATCATAATATAGTATTGTAACACAAGAAGTGCAATAGTGTATTTACATTTGTTGTGTTTATTTATTTTAGGGCAAAAACGGCGGTAGAAACTTACAAAGCCCCGACTCGAATTACGGCAGAATGATGTTCGACGGCAATGTTTCGCCGTCGTCGGTTAAAACCGGGCAACATTCTTTTTCGTACCAAGTAATAATACCTTTATAGAATATACGTTAGACTTAAAAAAAGGTTTGGATAAATTTAGATGGTCAGACTTTTTTTTTTAATTTTTGAACTTCTAGTAGATGTAGTAAACTGTGGTGTATTAAATAGTAAATGTATTTGTTTAGGCCTCAAAATAAAATAGTTCAATGTGTAATTATTATTTTGTTTCCACCTGTCTGAACCTACAAAATTCGTCCATATCCCTTTTTTTTAATATCAGGTCTAGATTATATTGTTATGTAACACTTCAATTCGATTTATTTGCCATCAGGACAATGGATTGGAGAGTAAATGGTCCGATCGCATGAGCAGTCCGTACCACGACGATCGTAAGACTCCCGACTTGGATCATATCAACATGGACGAATACAACGCTCTTTCTCAGTGAGTAAAAATACCAAAATGACTCCCACTCACCACCAGTGTTGGGTATATTCCAAGGTTCCGGGTATCGTTGCTAAAAAGTTCCTATCCGATGTTTGTTTTGGTTTCAAGCGAACTAATTTTTGTTATTTTTCCAACTTTTTTCCAAAATGAATAAAACTCAAGTGTGATCTCTTCTTCTGAAATTGGATAGTAACAAAATAGTTTGTTTGTTCCGTTATTTAATCTGGACCCTTGTGTGTCGTCAAATAGTCTGTACTGAAAAATTACTCGTTGCCTTTGTCTTTTTAATAGGATACACTCGAATTATCAAGAACTGCAAGCCGATCTTCAGTGTTTGAACAACCAACAAAGCCAACTTCAACACAACAGTTTGCAAGCTGAAATGATGCAACACTATCCGGTAGTACAACAGCCCATCCATCAGGTGTATCAAAATGCCCAGCCGCAAAACTACCTGGTCAATCGGCAACAAATGTCCAACGGACAAATGATTCAGCATAGCGCGGAACGTAACAACGCCGATAACGTGCAGTGGCACAGTTTGATTAATAACAGCAATTACAATCAACCGCCCCCGCCTCAGTTCAATCAACATCAACCACAATACGTCGTCAACCAGATGCCGCCGCCGCCTGTCGTAAACAACACGATGCCGCCGAGTAACAATGCTTATTCTCCGGTCAACAATCACCACTATGTGGCTCATCACGAGCCGCCGTACGATCAAATGTCGACCCCCAAAAAAGACACCTCTCAGCAACAATTTTTCTTGCACAACAATCAACAGGAGTCGCAGCAGAAAATCCGCAAGAGCTGGGAAATATCGTCGTCGCCTCAACCTCAGACGTTTGCTCAAGAATCACAGAACGTTTGGAACGGCGGGTACAAAATAAAACACTCTATAGTAGTTTACGACAGATCGGGCCGAACGCACTTTTTTGAAAAACAACTTTCAACTCTTTTTTTTTTTTTTATAATAATATTAAATAGAAAAACTGTCACATAACGATAAATAAAAATAATCATAGTACACAGTACAAGTATTTTAAGGTACAAAATACTGACAAGTATATTATATTTTCAAAAACACCGCCCGGTCATGTCTACGAGTAAAAATAATAAAACAGTTTTAATTAATTAACCTCGATATTGTTGTTTTTTCATAGACGAACAATACCGAAATCTTCACAGCCGTCTTCGTTGAGCGGATCACCACGTCAAAAGTCCGAGTTCACCATGACGTTCAACAGATCTGGCGTTAAAACTAGCCCTTCTTCGCCGGTACCTCCTCCTCGTCGTAACTCCAATCACGTAGTCAATCACGCACAATTACCTACGCCGTCCATTGACGATATGCAACCGCAGAGTATATCGTTTATAGGTACAGTAGATTGTTTTTGTACGGCCTTGTTGGAAAAACTATATACTGTTGTTTTTTGTCTTATATATTAATATATTTTTTATAACAATCGCAGGCAACGATGCGGCCAAGAAAGAACATGACCTATCCGAAAGCCTGAACAGGATCCAAATAACTTCCGGACACCGAACTTATAGAATACCATCGCCTACCCGAACGCACATGCCCATCAATCGAAATTCGTTCAACGACAACGGCAACCACTCTCCGTCAAAACCTAGTCAAGACACAACTTCCGCCAACACGGACAAAGGATTTTACGTGTCGTTCGAAGACGCAGACGCACCCAAACGACCGAAACCGCCGTTGAGAACGAAAAAGATAATATCTAAAGTAAGGTCTTAGTTGTTGTATATTTTTTTTTAAACTTCTACTGGACCTATTTTTAATTTGTTATATTTCTCCACTAGGAGCGCAATTTAACGCAAACCTTAAACAACTCCGTGTCGCTAAGTAATTTGGACATTTCCCCGAGGCACGTTACGTTGTCTTCGATCAACAGTTCCAAACCGAAGGAATTTTCGTCTCCCGTCAAGTCGGCGTCCGATTCGGCCGTTGTTCAAAACTCCAGCCATAGCAAAGTTAGTCCGGCCAAAACTTCGACGGCAGTAGAAATAATCATCGAAAACTCCAACCCGGATCCGGTGAGTACAACTAAAGTGGTTCGGATGAATTTTTTCACCGTCCCTTATTATATTTGACACTAATAAAAAAATTCTTCTGTTTCCATTTGCGTAGGTCGCGATCGACGAGATGGAGAAAAAGAAAGAGCGTATCCTCCTTTTGTCGCTGCAACGACGACAGCAGCAAGAAGAAATTAAAAACAAAAAAGAAATTGAAATGCAAAAGAGAAAAGAAGAAGAAAAAGCCAAAGAAGAAATGAAACAGCGGAAAAAAGACGAAGAGAGACAGAGGAGAGCAACAATATTGGAACAGTATCGGATAAAAAAGGCCATCGAAGAAGCCGAAAGAGAGGTACGCTTAATGTTGTCATAATATGAATGAGATGATGACGACAATAATTACATGTATAACAATAATTACGTTGTTTCATTAAAAATAGGGAAAAACTATAGACAAAGAGTTGCTGAATTCGTTGAAAACCAACAACAATCACACAACGGGTGGACCACCAAGGTTGAGGAGTAAACTACAGAGCGGACGGCCTCGACCAAAAACTATACACGTAGACAGAAGCGATACCACCGACGGGACGTTAACGCCGTCGCGAGGCAAAAAGGGATCAATTACAAACTTAGCGAGTTAGTATATTTACCGTTTCTCCTAGGCATTTGTATTACTCGTCACCATAATTCTATTAGCGTTCGACACAGTACTTGACTTATATTGACGTTTATTTCTGTGCACGTAGCGTTGAACTCACAAATTAGACGAGACTATTATCGCGGATCGCAAGACTGCTTGGCCGAAACCCGGCGAACCTCAGCCTCTTCGCTTTACTCAGGTGAGCAGCAACACACGGTAGCGAATTACGTACTTTGTCACGTTACATATAATTTGTAAACGTTGCACGGCTGGCCAAAATTAAATTATATTTTATTGATTTCAGCAGTAATAACAGTTGTTGAATACTGCAGTTGTGAAGTATTGAAAAATTTAGAAATATAATAAAATAAATTCCATAAATAAAAAAAAGTGTTAATAAGGGCAACTTTTAACATAAACTATATCTCACTAAAAATTATTGTACCTAGCATAAATGTTTTAATACAATGTATATTCCATGCATCGACAGTTGCAAATTGGATGTTTATAAAATAGCTAGTTGTCAGTAAATTTGTTGTGGTAAAATTATTTAATAAAATCTCATCTTTTTCATAGAATAAAAAAGTCTACTTATATAAAATCAGTTATTATTTAGTAAATAATGACAATAATATTATGTAAAAAAACATTTTAGAAAATCGCTAAATTTAGTTTATAAACTTAGTCTTTTTTTTTTTTTTTAATAACACCGGCACTTTATAAACCAAAAAAGTTTTGAATCACTCTCATATAATCAATGCCATACTGTGTACTGTATTGGTAAATACTAATTATTTAAATTTTGAGTTGAGAATAATCTACTGAACAATTTAGACTAGAGACGATTAAGGAAATTCATGATACTTATAAAAATGATTCAACACCATAACAAGTATTGGTTAACGATATTTTCTCGATTTTTCAAAAGAATATCCTTCACAAGTTAAGTAATTAAACTATTTTTGAAAAAGTTTTTAGCTAAAATATGTATGAAAACTAAATTGGTTTTCTACTCCTTTCTTGTCCGATCCAATCAAACATAAGTATTTATTTGTCGGATATTATTTTTAAATAATAAATAGTATACCACCTATATTTAAAAACAAAAATCTAAAAACTGTGACTATTAAAATTTGTCAGATTGTTTAGTATTTTTTTTTTTTAATTTTTACTTAATAATAAAAACACAATATTGTAATAAAAATAATTTCTCAGCTCCCCTTCGAAGATCAAAAACTATTTGAAATGAAACATAATCGATGTAAAAAGAAGATATGTTATTCAGTTAGTTAAATAAACTTAAAAAAAAAACACTTTCTTAGTGCTAAATTTTGTAAAACTCAAAACTAATAAATTGTTTTGACAACAAACTTATTATTAAAACATTTAACCTTGGTATAATTTCTAAATTTTATACTACCATAATATTCTTAAGTCACAACCGATAAAATTAATGTTAATGCCACAGCTTTGCGTTGTATTACCTTTTTTTTGGCCTATTTGTCGCTTATTGTGTATTTATTTAATTTTTTAGACATGACCGATGAGAGCAAACTCACCACGCCAAGAACTTTGGACCGTCACGGATCGTATAAAAATTCTCGAGGTCTGTATTAATATTATTAATTTGTAGTATCCGCTTATCGGTTGTAAACATATTATGTATTTATCGATTTCACCGCTTGCTAGATGTATATTTTGCCCGTGTAGCAATTGCTGTAGACGACAAAATGTGTGTTGGCCGTTCGTTTACGATAGTAAATGTTTTATTGTGATTGTCGCGGGTAATCTAGCCGTTGGTCGAATATCGGTGTAAATATATTGTGTATTTTATGTAGACACAAATGGGAATATTTGTTTATTTAAAAAGAAGTATATTTCATATACATATCCATGTTAACTTTATGTCGACAACTAAGAGAAATATATTGTACAAACGATAGACAAAAAAAAAAAAAAAATAGTAATAATAATTTAAAACAAATACTTATCCGTCGTTTGTCGCGTTACAACAAGTAACGTAATTTAGGAAGTAGTTTTCTTGTTTTTGTTGCAATTTTTTGGTAGCATGTTTGGCAAACGTTTTTACAGATTCTTCTTTGGACCGAACAAAGCGTAAATCGAATTATGGATACTACAATAGCGCACCACGTAAATCGAATTCTCTGATGAATTTGTATGGTAAGATAATAAATAAAACAACAAAAAACAGCAAAGTTGGTGAAGGCGCTAAATCACAAAAGCATGTCGTATAATACTTTGCATACAGTTAAAGGATTATAACAATTAACACAACTGTAGAATTACGGTGGTGGAACCGGACGGTGGATGGTGGTATCTCATCTCGATTGCATTATCTCTTAATCGTCTTTCTTCGACGGTTTTCACTCTTCGCCTGTCTTTGGTGCGATAATCATAACGACCGCTGGAACGATCCAATTATTTTTTTTGTATTTCGGAAAAACAATTTTTATTTACTAAAATAACTATTCAAATATATATTACTATCTAAATTGATACATTGTAATAAAACTAACAATTATAATGTTAAATAATATTTTACTTGGTGGTAAAATTGACTCGATGAAGATTTAAAATTTCATCAATAACAAGACAATTAGTTACGTTTAAATAGTATACATATCATTCATCGATATGAAAACTATTATTTTTCAAGTACCCGTTTCCAATCATTTTGTGACTTAAAACAAAAAAAATAACATCAAATTTAGATTTCTTATTTATACTAAAATTCCATTGTTGAAAATTATAATCACAATTAAAATAAATCGTCGGTTTTGTTTAACGATTAAAGTAAATAATGAATTTCTCAAGAGTGAATATAATTTATTATCTTGATCAGAAATTACATGAATAATCAACGATAGCTAACGATATCTTTCAACCATTAACATACGGTCTACTGCGTAACCATCGCATCTTAACTTTTTTTCCGTTGTCCATCGGTCTTTAATATATAGATACTAAAAAAAAAATTAATTTTTCCTTTTTTATTGAGACAGTTGTTAATTTTAATCTTTGCAGGAGGTTCGAGCTGCGATCAAGACAGCCTGTTGTACCGGTACGGCGACACGGATTCTGGACTCGGACGTGCCACGCCGCCCAGAAGAGCTATGTCGCCTTCGGGTCCGGGATCGTTACCCATCCGCCGCAAGTTTGACGATACCGCCAGCGAGACTGGCAGTGACTACTGCGGACCACGGTATGTGTTCAGTCGACACTTAGAGATGAGATTATTGTTTTGTGTTTTTATTTACACTGTTCTTATCGGTTTCTGTTTGGTTTATCGAAGGCTGTACAAGCAACCAGTGACCAAGTCCAATCGGGGCATCATATTGAACGCTGTCGAGTACTGCGTGTTTCCCGGCGTTGTCAACCGAGAGTCCAAAAAACGTGTGCTGGAAGAAATCAACAGGTCCGAAGCCAGACACTTCCTGGTGTTGTTCCGGGACACCGGCTGCCAGTTTCGGGCCCTCTACCTTTACTACCCGGAGACCGAAGAGATCATGAAATTGTACGGTACCGGGCCGCGGGTCGTTACCGATCGTATGTTCGACAAGTTTTTCAAGTAAGCACAATTTTCTCACTGGCCAGTCGAATCGGCTCTATTCACAAATGACACTGAATGTGAACCTTCAGACCTTTAGTAGTACACCTAAAGGAAAAACGTGTCTACCACTTCTGGGCAAAAAGCTTTTGATAATAATTATTTGGTTTGTCGACGTTTATTGATTTGGTACATTGTTGAAAGAATATCCATACAAGTTCGAAAGTAATTGGACGGTTTTTAAAAATGTTTTAGAGCGCTGTAATTTTAAGTTGGAAAATATCAAATACATACCTACAATTTGAAGAATGGACTTTTTAAATTTTTGGTCAATAAACTTGATAAATTTAGACTAACTAGTTAAAAAAAAATATGGCTTGGATCCAAAAAGTTCTATGTGTGAATGTGTAATTTTTCAGGAGAGCCAATTAAGTATTTAAGTAATTTGAATATTTATAAACGATTCGATTTGGACGTTAAAATAATTTATATTTATATCGGCTCATTAGTTGAAAATGTATAATACCAAACTTGGAATCAAATAGTTCTAGAGATGGAATCTTTTAGTACAAAAACAAAAATAAAATATTAGATAGTACCTTTTGCAGAAAAATAAAAGTATTTTACCGCAAAATACTTCTTCTACATTAGCAATACCAACATAACATCCAAATTAATGTATATTGATCCCACGAAAACTTTTATTTAGTTACAGCGTCTAATTGTATTTTAGCTTCGGTGTGGAGCTGAAGTATTAGTTATAATATAATAAAAGTTTTATACCTTTATATAAGGTATTGTTTTTACAATGATGTTATTTATTTTTAGTTCTTGTATCTGGACCCACGATACCTTCTAAACTGCTTAACCGATTTCTTCGTGTAGCACCTAAAAAATCACCCAACAAATTAACATATTTTACACCTTAAATTAACAGCACTCTGTAACTTTTTTAAAAATGGTCGAATTTGTATGGAATATTCTTAAGACATTAGTATAATACCGATTAACGTTGACCAAACCGAAAATATAGAATAAAACTTTATTTTACTTCCCATTTTCAAACAAACTTTCAATACTAAAAAGTGTGAAAATTAGCCAGAATATTTAGATCTTATGTGGGGCTGTAACATATACAAAACGTTCTCAAGAATCTGTAGTCCAACTTTGTTGTTTTTATTAAACAAAAACCAAAGGGAAAAATTACACTTTGTAGTCAGACAGACGACTACCCAACCTAATATACTAAGTATACATTTTTAAAAACATTTGTCATTTGGTGGAGTGGAGTACAATGCTTCTATCTGTTTTTGTATTTCCACCTTTACAGACAAGCGTCGAAACGTCGATTTTGGTGATTTTATTGACATTTTATAATAATGACTATCTGCTGACTTCAATGTTTGTTTGTTTTTTTTTCGCCGCAGGTACAATTCGGGTGGAAAATGTTTTTCTCAAGTGCACACCAAACACCTGACGGTCACGATCGACGCGTTCACAATACACAACAGTCTGTGGCAGGGGAAAAAAGTGAATTATCCCAACAAAAAAGACATGACACTAGTGGTTTAAAAAAACACCGACCAAACATGATGCTGCACACACAAACCGATTAATTTTTTTCGCCTAAATTGTTTTTTTTAATTTAACGAAAACAAAATTAAAATATAATCGCCTATATTTATTATGATATAATAAAAATAAATACATTGAAAAAAAAAAAACCCAAAACACTAGGATAGAAATAAAACACAGTCTTTGTGTGTTTCGGTTAGGTTTGCGGTACGGGCAAAGTATTTCTTAACAATTTTCGTTTAAACGAGTCTTTAATGTTGGTTTTTTTTTTTTACGCTCCGCTTTTAGCATTAATGTTTGAAAATATATTATACATTTATATAAATAAGTATATATATACATATAAATATAATTATTTAATAATAGTTATTAATATGAATTGTTAAAAAAAAAAAAACCTAAACGCGCGTTTGTAATCGGAAAAACTATATTATATCATATAAATTATTTGTATTTGTATTATTATTATTATTATTATATGAAAAATTTCAATTAATCATCAAAAAAAACTATAGTGGGTAAAAGAAAGTGAAATTTCCCATTACGCAGCTTCGTTGTGTATTTAATTGTTATCTAATTAAGTTCGATTTTTTTTTTTTTTTTTATCATTATTATTATTATTTTCTGTATGTCCGTTGTGTGATTTATTAAAACAAAAAAAAAAAAAAATGTATTATTAAGAATATATATATATAAACAAAAAAAAAAAAAGTTTGCACATTTTTTTACTCAAACTACAAATATATGTTGTCGTCCACGTGTCGTTTTTTTAACTATAAATTTATCGAATCTAAAAAAAAAAATAACTTAAGGTGGAGGACGACATTTTTTTTTTTTTTTTGTTTTTATATTGAAGAACAACCCTGTAAACGGTTTATTATTATTATTACTTTTTTTTTTTTGTCTTAAAATGTTTGTCTTGAAAATATTTTAATATTTGTTAATATTATGTGTATGTATATTTGTTTTTTTTTTTTTTTGTGTTTACTATCTAAAAAGCCCTTTACAAGCCTAACAAACTAATATAATATATATATATAAGTATATACATGATATATATTTGTAAGTAATTGTACTGTAACTATAAACTATTCGTGAAATACTAGAGCTAGTATAGTTATATTGAAATTACTCGTTTTATCTCGCAGGTTTCTTCGTTGTATAATATTTTTATCGTTGTTGTCGGGTTTTCGCGAACCTTTTTAATTATTATTTTTAAATGAATAACATTATATCTTTATCGTGTACGATAAGCGCACGTCCGAATCTTTAAAAATTTCAAACGCATTGAGAAAAAAAAATGAACTCGATAAAGTACGATGGCTTTGCGTAATCAATTAAAGAGCTTACGTTGTTTTCTATTTTATTAAATTCTCTATACATTTTTTTTTTTTTTACGGTAAAAAAATGACACTTATTATCGTTGTGTGCGATCACAGTGTCGAAGCCGCGAATAAAACAACCCAAATGGCATTTAATCAAAAAAATGAACTAAAAATTGCAACAAAAAAAAAAACCGCGTTTAATTGTATTAAATAATAAAATCTTTAAATAGATGAATAAATAAATTTTTTTTCCTAACGGTTTCTATTGTAATTAAATATTAGTAAGTCGTATGATAATAATAATAATAACAAAAAAAAAAAACTAACACCGAAGATTAACGATTTTTTTGAAAAAAAAATATAATTTTTTTTTTTTATTAGTACCTAACCCCAACCCTAATAGATCTTATTAATTTATTACAGCTATTTGTATTTTTTTTTTTTTTTTTTAATTTGTATTATAACTATTATTTTTGTATTTTTGTTTATTATTTTTATCATTATTATAATTATTATAGTTGTATTTTAAGATCTGTTAAAACATTGTGCCAATTCGTAAACATTATAATTTTTGTATTTTTTTAGTATTTTTTTTTAAATAATTAATTTTTTCTTGTTTAAAAAAAACAACAACTGCGTAACATACTACTTAGAGATGTTTTCAAAGAATATTTCATATTACATTTTTTTATTTATTTTTTATTTTTATTGTACTGTTTTACGTTAGTAGAATTTATGTAATTCCGTTTATCGTATCGTGTCTTACGTACCAAAAAAAATGAATATTTATTCAATTTTAATACATCATTAGTATATTTTTTTCTCAATTCATATTTAATATTTATAAACATGGATTTATATATTTTAATATTTAAATGTTTAAATATTTCATTAGCCATAGTGTCTGTTTTTTTTTTTTTTTTTTATGACTATAACGAAAGATGCGACAACCGCAAAAATAACTGTGTACATGTTTCCATCATTTGTTTACAGCCAGTTTATAGATGTTTATATTAATATTAAGTATATATATGTACCTACCTAATTATTACTATTATTATTATTAATAATATTTGATTATATTATTTTCACTAAAAAAAAAAAAAAAAAAACATTAACAGCGTTACACCTAAAAAATAATATTAATATTTATACTTCTTGTGTTTGTTAACTTACAATATTAAAATGTGATAATATACTAAGCTTTTTTTTTTCTCGTACTGAATTTTATATACGATATATTTGAATAATTTTATCCTGTCTTTTAACTATTTAGTTTCAACCGCTTTTACGTATCGAGAAGTTTGTGTTGTCGCGTGTGCCTCCGACGGTAAACTCTTTAACCGATCTATTGCTATAGGATTTACGTTGTTGGTTTTTTTTTTGTACAATTTCATACTCACTATTAAATTAAAAACGACATATTTCATACTTCTTTTATTAGAAAATAAAATGTATGGATTATTTTGTTGTCTAATGGTAACTTAACTAAAGGGTAGTACAGTATATCTGTATTTTAGCAGGTTATCGATACTATTACAATTCATAATTGATCATTCTATGTAAAATTCACATACTTCATTTTGTCTCGTTTCAAAATATCGGCTTTGTTGTCAATTAAAATGTAACACAACGTTAAGAAATAAGAATAATCTTTTTTTTTTTATCTCCTATGTGTATCTGAAAATGTATTGTTTTCAGCATTGGGGTTTTTATTTTATTTTTTTGTTTCTGGACCCACGATATCCTTGTAGTAAAATGTTAAGACTGAGGTCTGAAGACTAGTTTGGAGGTTGATCTAGACTCTACATCAAAAATAAGTTGTTTAAGAATATTATTATAAAGCACATTTCAATTTTCCATTTCAATATCATAATAATTAGTCATTAAGTAACGTGGTCGTGTACTTTAGGTGTTTTTTACAACAAATTTACACAATATAATAGCATCGCCCAAGTCGAATATTTGGTTTTTTATATTAGCAGAACATAAAACAAAATAATTTTAGTACCGACAACTTTTTAGTTTAGTTTAGTTACACAACGCAATACCACTTTGCGTTATAAGAGTAATTTTGACACTAACATAGAATATTCACAAGATTAAATTTAATAAAAACAAAACTTAGTTAGTTAAAAATACACCAACTTAGTCATAAGCCGAAAAAAACTGGACAATTTTCATTATGGTTGCCAACAATAAGTTATTTGTGCAGAACAAATTATTTTGATCTAGTAACATATATATATATATATATTCTGAATAAAATAGTTTTTTTACCTAAAGAGAACTCATAAACATTATTTTACTAGAATTTATTAGTATTTGATAATATAATATTAGACTGATTTAATAAGTTACTTAAAATATAAATATTTAATTAATTATATAATATTCATGTAATGTAGGTAATTTTTTTTAAAAAAACTCTCATTAATAAACTACAAAAATTATATTCAGTAATATTGAAAAGTGTACCTATCTTTTGAGTGTTGAAAGATAATTTTAAACATTTTTGAAGTTACTCTAAATTTTTACCTTATTAATAGTTTTTTTTCCGATAAAAATTGATATAATTATTTTTAATAGAAAAATTCTCAAAGAAAAGTTCTAATAATTATCTAATAAATATGTATTAATACATATTTTAACAAAATAATAAAGTATTATAATTACCCTTCAACACACAAATGATATACTTTTCAATGTTACTCGCGTGTCATTGTTGTGGTGAATGATATTTTTTTTTTAATTAACCTTTCTATGTACATATATTGGTACTAGTAAAAAACTGTTTTTCTGCATAAGTATTGTTTGCAATGTTAATTGAAATTATCCAGAGTTTTCGCTTGTCTTATGACTGAGATGGTGTTTTTTTTTTTTTTAATTGAATCTTGTGTATATTCTATGTTAAAATTCAGAATTGTTTGAAATTTGTTTTATATTTGATTTTATACGACTATAAGCACCAGGCATTTGGAAAATCCACTCATACACAATATATTTGTTTTATTATTCAATCCCAACCGTATTGTCGAAACTACACAATCCGATATCGAAACACTTTGTCAATAATTATCGCGTTGTATTATTTGCACGGCTACAACCGCTGTTATTTTAATAAATATCATTTATTGTACTGTTGTGCGTAACAACAATGTAAAGAATGTAAATTTCAAAGGCAGTGTAATCAAGTGTTCGTTTTTTATTGCTCACCGAAAATTTAATGTCGTCACGCATATACTTTTGTACGGTTATATAATACCCGTTTGATCGTTGACGAATAAAAGTTCACTCGGTTTAAGTCGAATATTATTATTTTTTTGGCAACAAAATGTTCTTAAGAAATACCACCACAGTTTTATATATCTCAGGTCTTTTGGCCCAGATGGCGTTCACGGATCCGACACAGGTAACAGCAGCTCTCAATTATTATTGACCGTTATGTGTATTTTAAATTATAATAAACGTGAAAAGAAATGCTGTACTCCATAAAATATGTAGGTAGCAGATCCTCTGGCCCAGCTTTTCAATGTTTATGACCAAAACCACGATGGCGCCATTGTCGCACAGGAACTGAAGGAAGTATTAACATTGATGGAACTCGACTTGACAGACAACCAAGTGGAAGCCAGGTTGCGGGAATATAGTCCAAACGGTATCGGTGTACATTATAATATTTTTTGTTAAAATATCAGCTCATAACTATTTTTTTCTACAATTACTAGGCGCTTAAAACTAACTTATATAAACAACTTATACTGAACAATTAAAAATTATAATAATAGTTACAATATTAAGGCTCGTGCTGGCTTCTCTTGTGGGGGTCGCTTGCTGCAGCCTATAATATAGGCTCATATTATGAGTGCTTAACATTTTTTTTTACTTATATCATCCTAGTCTCTAAGGGTTTACAGATTAGCGTTAGAAATAATGAAAAAAAATACATACTCGAACATTTTAAAAAAAAATTACATTTATAGGTATGTTTTTATAACGACAAATAACTTTAAATTATTGTCGGTATTGTAAATTATTGTTATTTCTCCATAACCCCCAAAAAAATAGCACTAAATACTCGAATTGTTACAAACACTGTAGTTTAGTACCACAAAGATGTAAAGAAATATCTATTAATTTTTTTTTTTTTAGTTATAATATAATATATGTTATTATGACTATTAATATGCACTATTAGTTATTATATGGATCTTTTGATATATAAAGCTCAAAAACAAAATTGTTCTATGGAATAAATTTGAGATAAAGTATAATACAGAGTATAATGCAACAATTTTTTTTGTCAAGTTAAGTTAGCATGATAATTTAGGAAACAATTTTATTCAGTTAAAGATTAAAAAGCGAATTCACTTTCAAAAATGTTTACCGAACCGATTTCAAACATTTTTGTCCTAGTTATAAAATGTACTATCTTCTAAAAGGACGATTTTTTTTTAATTTTACCATAAGCGTTTATATTTTTACTTTTTTTTTGTTGATAAATATAACTAATTTTCTAATAGCTAAATCAAAAAACAGTATTTTAGTCCCCATAGAGAATTTTTTAGATCTAAATACCTGACAAAACTACTCCTACTTAGGATGGTCCGATTTAAATTTTGTAAACATATTTGAGCTTAACAGCCACTTTTCAAGGTTATTGCATTTTTTTATATTTCAATTTGAATTGTGTTTTATTCCTACTTTTGATTTAGCAAATTTGCAGTATTCACTTCATTGTCGCTCTTTAAGTAAACCAAATAGTCTACTCGTGCAATAACCTGGGAAAAAATAATTTTGTCAGGCATTTAATGTGTCTATTGGCTTTTCGTGTACCACAAAAATGGCTTTAAAACTGGCAAAACAATAATATTATTAAACGCTCTTGTATTCGTAGGCGATGGTCAAATGAGATTGGCCGACTTTAGAAACATGATGAGCCATCCTGTAGACAACGAAGAGAAAACAAAAGTGCTCCAGAATATGTCGGGTGGACATAATTTCATAAGTGTAGAAAACCTTCAGACTATCCTGGAAAACATTCACTTTGAATTTAACCCAGCCGAACTTCGTGCGATTGACGTCAACGGAGATTCAAAAATCACAATAGAAGGTAATCATATGTTCATCAAAAGTAATAATTTCAAACAAAAAGGTATGAAAACCGGTGACACGGTCAGCTTAAAAATGTCAAAGTGTGTAAAGTGTTTTTATTATGTAATATTTTTTTTTTTTTCAGAAATTGATAAATTCAATTGCATACCCATCGTAGTAGAATGATTTCATTTCAATCTTGTATCATTATTGACAGTTTTTATTAATTATTGTTCACATACACAATATTGTAACCGGTTATTGGATTGAAATAAATACCTAATTAATAAAATATCATAACGTTGTAATATGTAATATGTCATTAAAAGTGTTTCACCGTACCTATAAGCCAAAATAAGTCCTATATCCATCCTACGTTTTAAATCCAAGAACAGAATGGGATTTGAAGAGCTGATAATATTATGTTATATTATATCCAAACATATTTCTATACTTGGACTCTGATGTCTGTGTCGTTCGTTCCAAACTAGTTCTGGACCGGCCAATGTGTCATAAAAGTGTTAAAAAAATCATAAAGGTTTGAACAAAATAATTGATTATTACCTACTATTTTCATAATTAGGTGTTTAATTATTATAGAAATAGCTATTAGTACGGTACAAGTTTGTTTTAAATACAAATTACTGCACAAATTAGATACCTGTACGGTTACACGCTTAAGAAAAATCAATATTTTTAATTTAAAATATGGCATGGCATGACATTGAGAGAAAAAAATGTCGAATTTGAACTGGTACCAAATTTGCAGATTTTTTTCATTATTATTATAAACGTCACATTGGTTCCAGTAAGATAAAACAACAGTAGAAGTACACAATGGAGAGTGGTACAACATTTCGTAAGATATCTGAAATCTAAACAAAATTAGCAGCATTTTTTTTTTTTATAGATGCTGTTTTCATATTATAATACGTTTAATTGGTAGTGTTTTTAAAAAGTGTAAAAAATCAAAAAAATCTAGGTATAAGGTCAACGACCGAACCACATATTATGGACACCCTGTGTTTCAGTTTTGTTTGCTGAACATACGTGCGCCTTGTTGAAATCCAAAGAAATGACTGTTTATTGTTTATTTATATGCGTTGTGTACTTACCTGTACTCAGTACATGTTGATTCAAAACGCGCGTTATGGTATATTTTATTAACCCGGGCAGCAAATTTTTTTTTTTTTTTAAAGATTTAGATGTATAATTTGTGAGCACTTTGTTGCAATTGTATTTCTTAATCGATTAATACCAGTAAAATCGATAAGAATATTTTTGGGGGAAAATTAACTATACGCGTTGTGGAGTTGGTATCACTGTTAAAAACTGCGGGAGTTACTATAATACTAGAAAAACCCCAGAGTGATGTGTATACTTTTGTAGACTAGCTGTGGAGAGTTCTATTGGAAACATTTCAAATCAATCTCAACAATGCCCATAGTGTCAACTGCCGAATATTTATTACCTATTATTACTAGTGTAAATATAAAAAATGGAAAATTCCAACACAATACTTTCTGTTTGAATGAAAATCAGTCGACAAAATATCACAAAAAGATAACATAAAACGTTTTATTTAACTTTTTTATAATACTATTACTTATAGTTTATTAAACAAAACATTAAAAATTACAAATATTATATACAGTACAATTATGCATAAAATTACTAATTAAATTGATTAACATAAAACGTTTTACTTAACTGTTTTACAATACTATTACTTATAGTTTATTAAACAAAACTTTAAAAATTACAAATATTATATACAGTACAATTATGCATCAAATTACTAATTAAATTGAATAACATAAAACGTTTTACTTAATTGTTTTACAATACTATTACTTATAGTTTATTAAACAAAACTTTAAAAATTACAAATATTATATACAGTACAATTATGCATAAAATTACTAGAGTTCATCCTCGTCATACCGCACAGTTGACTTCTTTATCGTTTTCCTCGTTTGGTAAAAGAAAATGCCTAGTTTTTCTTGGAACTTTTAATCTATTATTTTCATTTTTTAACACAGCTACTTCAGTGGATAATTGTCCATTTTTAACGTTTTTTTGGCTCGACAAGATTGCATTTTTAAGGCGTGACATGATATCAGAAGTAAACATTCCTTTTCCATTTCTAGTACAGCTGCCATCCTCAGGCAAGGTATCTGCCCACGTGTAACACTCAACAGCGTAATAAAACCGTCAGCCGAAACTATCAAATACCTGAGAGTTCACTTTGACTAAAAAACTACTTGGGCTCATCACAAACACTCCGCCAAACTAAAACTGAGCCCTCGCTTGAAAATTATTAAACGTTTCCTAAACTATGCATCAAAGCTATCAACTACATACAAACTCTTACTCAAAACTCTATGCACCTATAGCATACAAATCTGGGGCTCTGCAAAACACTCTAACTTATATAAACTACGAGTATCCCAAAACAAAATACACCAACGCGGACCTACAATGAACTCAAACCTATGAATCGTATATTTAAAAAAAATAAATAATTAAAATAGTACTGCTGCCAAGTTGTTTTTCAGAGGCATATCGTCTCTACGCAGGAGTTGGGCAAAATGAGAAATTATTTAAAATACAAATTTCTACAAAAATCAAGCAACACGCCCTACTAGAACAGCAGTATATCAATAATAAAAGAAATATAATATAATAGATAAGCGACTCGTATAGCAAGCCGAAATGTTCGTAAAACGGTCAACGGCGCACTGAATGAAACATAATAACCGATAATATTTGATCATGTTGTGCTATTGCACAACGAAACAAAGTAAAGGAAGGTAGGTATTACCATATGTACAAGTACATAAAGATATGCCCACAAGGCCATTGATATAATATAGCCTTTGGATAAAAATGATTTTAAACACATCAGTCATTTGTAGGGCTTTTTACCATTATGTACTAGTTCGTGTATTGCGAGACTGCGTTTTGGTGAAAACGACTTTGGGCAAACAGCACAATTATATGCCTCTGGCGTGCACGAGTTTGTGTTTTGCGAGGCGGGTTTTTCGACAGAACGACTTTAGGCACACTTTGCATTTGTAGGGCTTATCTCCAGTGTGCACGCTCTTCACGTGATCCGAGAGAGTGGATTTTTGGCCAAACCGCTTTAAGCAAACCGCACAACTGAAGGGCCTTTCTCCAGTGTGCACGCGTTTATGCTATGTGAGGTTAAAATTTGAATAAAATGACTTGGAACAAATAGCGCACTCGTACGGTTTTTCTCCCGAGTGCACGCGCTCGTGTACTTTGAGATTGGATTTTTCAGAAAATGCTTTTGAGCAAGCCGTACATTTATAGGGCTTTTCTTTGGTGTGCATTCGTTTATGATTTTTGAGGTGTGATTTTGAATAAAATGACTTTAGGCAAACAGCACATTGGTATGGTCTTTCACCCGAGTGGATTTGTTTGTGGTGTTGTGTAAGTGTGTATTTTTCAGTAAACGATTTTAAACATGTCAAACACTGGAAGGGCTTCTCTCCAGTGTGCACGCGATTATGTTTTATGAGGTCTGCATTTGAATAACATGACTTTAAACAAACAGTACATTTGTATGATTTAACTCCCGAGTGCACTCGTTCGTGTTGTTTTAGACGGAAGTTTTGATAAAATGACAACGAACATAAAGCGCATTTGTATGGCTTGTCTCCAGCGTGCACGAGCTCATGTATTGTGAGATCTGATTTTATAGAATATGACTTATAACATACAGTACACCTGTAAGGCGTTTCATCACTTTTGCAGGGTTGGCTGATGTTTTTGGTGAATCCATAAGTATAGTTATTGCGATGGACTGTGATTTTTTGAGGAGAATATTGGTTATTTGAACTGTTGTGGGATTTTACTATATGTAATGTTATTTGCTCTTTAGTGTGGTACGACGTTTGACAAATATCGCATTTGAATAATCCTTGTTCTCTTATTTCTTCATTGCCCACCTTTGGGTCTAATTGATTATTGATTCCTTTTTCAATCCATGACTCGACGTGACAACCATCAATTTTTTTATTTCTTCCACAACTCGTACTATCGACGACCCTACAACAAAACAAACCCGAACAATAAATACAAATGTTTAATTAAATAACATTCTTCTCACATTTTACATATACTTATACTTATTTCTATTTACTCTTATTATATTTGTGTTCGATATGTTTAATTATTTTTATATTGTAAATTATATTATTTTATTTCGTGTTACCAATATGTTTTTTATGAATTTAAAATTTTATTGGAACTAAATTTATCTATACATAACTATAATTGATTCATAAACATATTAATAAGTATGCTGTGTCGTTTGTCATCCTGCATAGTAGGCAGTTCGCTTAAATAAAGTTGTATATACTATATACATATATAAAGAAACTGTTCGAAAAATTGTTATTTGTACAATCTACGTTTTTTTTCTTTATTTAAAATTTAATTTAAACTTCTACTTCTAATTTGAAAGTTTATAAATAATTAAATAGTGATTTATACAGTAAATATTTAAATAACACATGATAACTGATAACGTTTTCATCGTTTCATTTTAACGAAATAACAATTGATAATTTGTTTATTTGTTATAATTTGTCGGAATGTCATTATTCGTGGAATTAAAGAATCTTCTTCTTCTATAATAGAAGAAAGAATCTCTGATGACACTTCGAAAATATCTGAGGCAATCGGGGCCATACTTCCCTGAATTACCTGCAAATCTCAAGTCTATAAGACTTGGCAAAACTTATGATAGAGGTCCACGACCTCTCAAGGTATTCTTCTCTTCTAAAGAAATAGCTCTTAAACTAGTTTCTGACTTCAATAAAAATGCCAGAGGTCTTCCTCCCGACAGTACGCTTCGTTCTGTGACGATGACCCGTGATCGCACCCCACTTGAACGAGAGTCTATCCGTCTTGTATACGCCGAATTAGAAAACCGTAAAAAGAACGGTGAAACTGACCTAACAATCAACTATAGAGATGGACTCCCCTTCATTGTGCCACTTTATCGGTCGTCCCAGGCCAGGCGCCACCATGCTTCTAACTCTACATTTATCCAGTCAAAAAACTAGCAAGTCCCGACCTGCCGCCTAAGCAACCTCCACCTGTCACGAACAAAGCCGTCTTGTACTACTGCTCATGCCTTCCAGATCTTCACCACAACTGTATGTATAACTTTAAATCACAATCGTCTTACTGTACACACTGCCACTCAGCTCAACAAACTTTAAAATCATTCTTATTGTATTTTAATAACTTTAAAACTTAATTTTCTAAACCTGTTGATAATTCTAATACTAATAGCAATAATATATGTAATAAGGCCCTTAATTTTAATCTAAAAATATTCTATCAAAATGTACGTGGCCTTAAAACTAAATTAGTCAATCTCAGATGTTCCTTTCCTATGTTTTACTTTTATGACGTTATTATCCTTACCGAAACTTGGTTAACACCTGACGTTAGTGATAGTGAATTTGACTTTTATGGCTTTCAGGTGATAAGACTTGATAGAAATCCAAACAACAGTTCTCTTCTCCGAGGAGGTGGAGTACTAATTGCCATCAATAATTCCATTAAATCCCATCCTATTACTTTAACTATCTCGAATATTGAGCAAGTATTTGCCTTACTATCCTTCAACTCTAAGTATTTATTGGTAGGTGGTGTTTATTTACCCCCGCACTATCCTCTTCCTGTAGTTGAATCCCATGTTGCTTCTGTTGAGCAAATCATATCCACCTATAAACCTCAATCAGTTATCCTATGTGGTGACTACAATCTCCCTAATGTTGCGTGGTCGTCTGATGAACTAGGATTAATTGCCACTAATGATCACAATATTGTTACCACATCTATTATTGACTCTTTTTCTTACTTAAATTTCTTTCAGCATAACTTCCTTCCTAATAGTCATGGCAGCATTCTAGATCTTATTTTTTCAAACTCCAATAAAGTCACTATCAGTGCAGCAACTGAAGCCCTCGTTATTCCTGATCTATACCACCCACCTCTTCACATAATCTTTCCTTTCCTATCGGACGATGTTACAGGTTATACCCATACCTTTAAAGACTTCAAAGATGCAAACTACTCTGCTATATCCCAATTTTTTAACTCATTTAACTGGGAGTCTACCTTCTCGCAGTATTCAATCGAAGATGCTGCCTCTATTTTCAATGAAGCCCTACATCATTCCATTGAATTGTTTGTTCCTACTAAAATTTACAAGTTACCAAAATTTCCTCTCTGGACCTCTCCCGCACTTAAAAATCGCATTTTGAAGAAAAAACGTGCCCATGCAGTTTTTAAACGGTCCAAGTTGCCTTGCGACTACATAGCTTTTTCTGAGCTTCGTGCGAAATGCAAGCGCACTTCAAATATAGACTATCAGTCCTATATAAAACGTACAGAACACTCGCTCACTCATAATCCCTCACAATTTTGGGAGTATGCTAAAAATCTAAACAAGCACAACTCAATACCCTCCACTTTACGTTGGGATAACGCTACGGCTGATACTCTTCGTGATTCTGCTAATTTGTTATCTAAGTACTTCCATTCCATGTATAACTCCTCTATTTCTTCAGCTTTTAATCCCCCTACAAATAATAGCTATCCCTATGAACTTCCCTCTAATTGCTACTTTACGCTTAATGATGTGCAACTTGCACTTAACTCCCTAAAAAATAACAATTCTAATGGCCCCGATGGTATTTCTGCACGTCTACTTTTTAACTGTCAAGACTCTATAGTGTACCCTATATTCCTGCTCTTTAGACGCTCACTCGACGAGGGTATTTTTCCTGTTGTATGGAAGACCAGTTCTGTTACCCCTGTTTTTAAATCTGTTGATCCCTCTCTTGTTTCGAACTATAGACCTATTTCCATCCTCCCCCACATATCTAAACTGTTCGAATCCATTATATATGCTAATATCAAAAGAAGTCTTAACCATATATTAGGGGTTGACCAGCATGGGTTTCGCCCTGGTAAATCTACTACCACTTGTACCCTAGCTTTCACGTCTTATATTCTTGAAAGCTTTGAATCCGATTGTCAAGTTGATGCCGTGTTCACGGACTTTAGTAAAGCTTTTGACTCGGTTATTCATAGCCGTCTTATCTCTGAATTAGAATCACTCGGTATTGGAATCCTTTACTATCTTGGCTCCAATCTTATCTTAGTCCAAGAATGCAATTTGTGAGAATTCATGGTGCTACTTCTGACTTGTATATAACTCCCTCTGGATTCCCCCAAGGAGGACATCTTAGTCCTCTTCTGTTCATCATTTTCATCAACTCAATTAACAGTTACCTTTCATTCTCCAAAGTCCTTCTATTTGCTGATGACATTAAAATTTATTCTAAAGTTACTTCCATCTCCGACTGCCGTCAACTTCAGTCAGATCTCGACTCTTTTTGTCTCTGGACTCAGCGTATTGGCCTTACACTCAATCTTAACAAGTGCCATAGTATGACATTCCATAGAAAGCGAACTCCTATCAACTTCTTTTATACCCTCAATGGCTCTCCTCTTGATCGTGTTTCTTGTGTCAAAGACCTTGGAATCCATCTAGTTCCTTCTCTCTCTTTCGAACAGCATATTAATATTGCAGTTGGTAGAGCCCTAAAAGTCCTGGGTTTCATAAAGCGCAACACTACCCTTTTCACATCCCTCACTTGTCTACGTTCCCTCTATTTCTCTCTTGTCCGCTCTATCCTGGAATATGGAACAGTTATATGGCACCCGTATTTGGCTAAAGACCAACTACATTTGGAGCGAGTACAAAACCGATTCCTGTCCTACGTTGCTTTTCTGCTTAAGATTGATCACCCGCCCCATGACTATTCGTCCATTAGATCTTCCTTATATATCCCTAGTCTTACTTCTCGCCGTGTAGATGTTGACCTTTCATTTATCACCTCTCTTCTTAATGGCTCAGTGGATGCCCCTGACCTTCTCTCTTCTATCTCTTTCCGCGTTCCCGTGCATTATACTAGAAATACACTCTCTTTACCTAGTCCCCTCTCACAGTACCAACTACTCTCATAATCATCCTTTGCATAGAATGCTCCGTCTACTCAATAACTCCTAGATCCGTACATGTTATTCTGAATTATTATATAATAACATAAGCTATTTAGTTTTTAGTCGTATTGTGCAATAGCATTTAATGTTTATAATTTTTCTGTAAGATCACCTTAATCACTATTATTATTGTAATTTTTTTTTTTTGTTGTGCTTAACTTGTTATTGTATCTCTTAGAATTGCCGATTGGCGTTAAATAAATAAATAAATAATTTAATATATAATAAATGAAACTTTGCCTTACATGAGATTTTTTTTCATGATTTCTTTTCTAGTGCTTTCCTGGGTCGATGAGTGTGCACTATGTGATCGAGTTATGTGTTGGTCCACATTCCATTTGGAGGTAAAACACATATTACATATATCACAGAAAAATTGCTGTATTTTTCCCAAATTGTAGTCGGTCGATTGCAAATCTAAAATCCCATTATCTTCAATTTCAATCAGGGATTCGTAATAATGTCCATCTATTATATCGACTTCGACTTTAACCACAGTTGTATTGCACACATCTCTGTTACTAAAAATGATTTAATTAAAATATCAAAATTAAAATAGATAATACCAGCAGCCAGTAATGCATGTTAATGAATGGTGTACTACATGGTATCGGTGAAACGATTCCTCGTTTGTAGTGACTGTGCGATCTGTCTATATTACTTTATATTTAAATACTTATATACACATTGTATTAAAAAAACGAATTACTTGTATATATCCCCGTCAGATATTTTTTGAAGATCGTTCTGTGCTGTCACACAACTGTTATATGATTGGTCAATGTCTATAAAGGTTTCAGTTAACTCCTCGTCATTATCAATTTTGTACACTGTCCCGTAGTTATCATCCGTTTGGTCTTCAATTTTAATTTTCGATTCAGAAAACCTGAAAAATATAATATAATTTAAATAATTATAATAACTAAAATGAAGGCATAAAATATATTTTAAAATTTAACCAGACAATTACACCAAATAAATAGTTCGCAATAGAATGTATGTCCTAATTTTAATTATGTTACTGTTGTTTATTGAAAAGTAATCAGAATTCTTTAAAAGTGAAATACTACTCCAGCTAACTTAACTAAATAAAACAACCATAATCATAATTGTTTTCCTACCTAATGTCAAATACTATTTTCCACTTCCATAAAATATAAATTTGTTTTAATTTCTTTAATTGAAAATACATTTTTTTTTTTAGTCATATTATATTTTTAAGAAAAAAAGGTACCTTTTTAATATAAAAACAATAATAGCTCTGTACGGGCCTAGTAGTACCGCTTACAGTGAAAATAATACTTCTAGTGTAGTTGTATGTTGTTGTTAAGAAGTAAAATTTATTTAGGTTTATTATCATTTAGTACGTTTACATAATGACATTAAAATGGTTTGAAATTAAAACACATTCAAGTCATGTGAATAAATGTCAAATGAATGAGTATTAAACTTTAATATGATTACAAAACATTAAACCGTTTTGTCAAACGATACAATGGGTAGGTCACATAATGAGATGAGAAGAGAACGAGTAGCTTTGGAATGGAAACCACCAGGAAAATACCTAGAGGAAACTCTAGAAAAAGATGAATTGACGGGGTGGAAGATGATGTACAACCCATTGGAGTTGAGGATTGGAGAGAAGAAGTCCAAGATAAATATAGGTGGCGAAATGTAGTAACGGCGGTAAAAACTCTTAGAGAGTAGACATGCCAGAGGAAGAAGAAGAAGAAACCGTTTTCAAAATTAAAACAACCACACCATGTAGTTTAAGAAATTAAAACCGTTTTAAATGTATAAAATTAACATATAAACGCAACTTATAATTTGTATAATCAATGCTAACATTGATGAATGTTACCTGACTTTTGCTATCGCATTAATTGGTAATAATATTCTTGTTCAAAATATTATATAAAACTTAAAACTGACTGGAATGGTAAAGTATAAAAACATTACAGATAGTATAAAAAAAAACTATAGAGAAATTATAAAAGTATTTAAACAATACATGTATCAATAATTTATGTTATTCACACTAAATGTAAATAGAACTCACAATTTAAAAAAGCCACAGTCGATACCTTTAAAATGTTACCAGAATACCTGCCTTAATTTTAATTGAGTTATTATTTTTTTTTTGTTGCAATTATATGTATTTAAATTTAAAAATCATATTACTTATATGCATACCCGTCAATTGTTTTTTGAGAATCATGGATTGTCGGTGAACAATTGAGTGTTTCTCCAATGTCATTCAGCTCTGGTTTTGTCACTAAGGCTTCGTTAATATACTCTTTTACGTCCTCGTCTTCTTCAATTTTGATCACAGTCCCGTTATAATCATCCATTTTATTTTTCTGATTTTTGGTATTTTTGTTTCTCACTAGTTTAGCTCTAAAACATATAATAAAAATTAGGACAAGAAATAGCAATTTTTTTTATTAAAAATGATTATAGCCTGTGTCTAAATAAATTAAAATAAAACATGAGCGCAGGCACACTTTTTTGCAAAATAGAACCAAATATGGGCCTAGAGGATTTTCAAGAAAATCAAAACATTGATTCAACGATTAAAATTTTAGACAGTTGAATAAGTTATTACCAATAAAAAATAATCCACTCATAAAATATTTAATACTACACACACAATATGAAATACAATTTTCTCTTTCCATAAAATATAAATTAGTTTCCACTTGCTCTAAATACAATTAAAAAATTATTTTTCCTTTTCTGTCAGATTATAATAAAAAGAAAACAAACATACTTTTTAGCATACAAAATAATGACTACTTAATAATAGTAACAAATTAAAAATAATAATTATACAGATATTAAAAACTTTAACCAAACCATTGCTTCTATTTTTGATTATAAATATTTTAGACAGCCAACTGATAGACAAACTTTAGTTTTTTACACCGATACGTTTACGGAAGTTGGTAGTATCATTTTCATTGAAATAATACTAATAGCCCATTCCGTATTGTAGTTCAGAACTAAAATTAGTCTCGGTTAGCTATCATTCAGTATGTTTACAAGATGGCGTTATAACGGTTTGAAATTAAAACACATTCGAGTCATGTAAACACTTTAAAACATTTCAAAACAATAGTTTTCAAAATTAAGAATAAGAATTCAAATTGTATTATACGTAAAAAATGATTCTTAAAATAAACATATAAATGCAGCTTATAATTTTAATAATCATTGCTACTGTGGTTAATGTTACCTGACTTTTGATATTGCATTAATTAGTATTAATATTCTTCTTCATAATATATAAAACTGAGAAATTGACTGGAATGGTAAAGCATAAAACTATTTAAACAATACATAAATCAATAATTTGTTATTCACAACTAACAAAAAACTAACGCCAGTTGTCGAACTTCTGATAAGTACTCGTGTCTTTACCGATATATAACCAATTACTACTAATATTATTGATGATAAATATTTTAGATAGCCAACCAAGTTATATTTTATTTCTTTTCGCCAATACAAGAGGGGCGCTATTAGTATCGTTTACAATGAATATAATACTGCAATTGCCCATCCTGTGTCGGCATGCATAACTAAAATTTGTATCGGTTGGTTATAGCCAACCGATACAAATTGTATAGCATTTTTTTTAAAAATGTTAATATAGCCTGACTCTAAACACATTTAAATAAATTGTGAGTGGAGAAAGACATTTTTGCAAAATAAATCAAAAACATAAAATAAAGTTGAAACCTTTACGTAAATTATTATCAATTATTATTCCTACGGCCACCGATGGCACATATGACTACAACTGTTTAAGTCAACAACAAAGAATGTATGAAATTCATTTAAATTATTTAAAAATTCAAAACCTAACTCATAAACCGTAGCAAACTAAATAGTTTGTAAAAATAAATAGAACCATTATGTTACTCGGTAGGTACTTAGTACTTACTAATACACAGCTATACAATAAGAATGTATCTCCAGGCTCTGTTCTTGTAAAGAAGGTATCACACACTAAATCTAATTTTTTCTATGTTTATACACATAAGATAAATATAAGTAAATACCTGTTTAAAAAAGACAAAACAAATATATTGTTACGGACCATAGACCTTTAGTTACATCTTGATAACGTGTGTGTGATAAAGGTTTTAAAAATTAGGACCAGAAATCACAATTTTTTTTATTAAAAATGATTATAGCCTGAGACTAAACAAATTTAAATAAAACATGAGTGCAGGCACCTAAAGGTTTTTCAAGAAAATCAAAACATTGATTCAATGATTGATATTTTAGTCGGTTGAGTAAGTTCTTGCCAAAAAAAATAATCTACGCTTTAAAGTTTAATACTACACAATATGAACTTTCTCTAAATACAGATAAAAAATATTTTATCTTTCATGTCAGATTAAAATAATGAGAAAAAATCTATACTTTTTAGCATAATAAATAATGACTACTTAATAATAGTAACAAATTTAAAATAATGATAAAATAGATATTAACAACTTTAACCAAACCATTGCTTCTATTTCAGATAGCCAACCGATAAACATATTTTAGTTTTGTTCAACGATACATTTATGAGCACTAGTGGTATCGTTTTTATTGAAAATAATACTAATAGCCCATCCCGTATTGTAGTTCAGAACTAAATTTTGTCTCTGTGTCTATCATTTAGTACTTTTATAAGATGGTGTTATAACGGTTTGAAATTAAAACTCATTCAAATCATGTAAACACATTTAAAACGTTTTCAAAATTAAAACACTCACACTAGTATATTAAGAAATTAAAATGGTTTTAAACGTGTAGTATGATTTAATTATAAAATAAACGTATAAACGCAGCTCGTAATTTTTATAATCGATGCTACTACGATAAATGTTATCTTTTTTTTGCCGTAACAAAATGTTGATTGCTTTGTAATGATATATTAATCTGAGAATTTACCTAATTTAATTGGTAAAGTAAAAACATTACAGATAGTAATAAAGAGGAATTTTAAAACAATTAGCACAGTACATATATTAATAAAATATTATTCACGCTACAATAGAGAACTCAATATATTATATTATTCTATATTATAGAACTCAATGTTAACCAAAAAACCGCAGTCGACTCCTAAACGTAACTTCTTATCAATTATCGTTTCTACGACCGCTGACGGCTCAACTCACTACGCAAGTCAAATTACTCGACAAACGAATGTATGAAAAACATTGAAATTGTTTAAAATTCATTACCCGCCCGATAAATTAAATAATCTAATTAATTGTTATAAATCAATAAATAAAACCATAATGTTACTCGGTACTTACTAATACACAGCAATGCGATGAGATTGTTCGTCAAGGCTCTGATCCCTAACGTCAAACGACAGGTATATAACACGCACCGAATCTATTTTTTTATTATAATCTGTTTACAAACATACAACTATTTTACACCGTTTCAAACAAATCAGTCACTTTGAGTAAGTCGGAACAGCAAAATACACATTACTATGACATTACAGACGCACTACACCCTTAATAAGTTGTGTGTGTGTGTTAGCGTGTATATGTGATAACAGTGGAAACCGCGATGGCCGCCTGAAGGTAGAATGCAGTAAACATCAATATTATTGAAATACACAGGCTTACAAACACAAACACATTCAATAATACAAACGCTAGCTAAAATATTAGCGATAATTTTTTTTTGATTTTAAATTAATTATTTAACTGTTAAGTTCGTTGTATTATTTTATTTATACAAATTGGAAATCGTTAAACTTATCTGTAAATGTGCTACAAATATAATTGCGAACCAAGTTAGAAAATATCAAAAGAGTAGGAATTACTTATTCTCCTAGAAGGGGTGAACGGTTTTTTTTTTATTTCACATATTTTGGAACTAAAAATCTGGTAGATTTCGAGTGACCCAAACACAATATTTAAAAAACCGGTAGTAAATTGTTTTCCATTAGGTTAAATCCCTTACCACCCAAAAAAAACAATAACTTCTACAATTTTATAAAAGTAGATTAATCATATAATTAAATAAATTAATAATAGTATATGCCTGAATAAAAATACATTCGATACTGATGTATATAAGTTAATTATAATAACACCTAACTATTAACAATAGCCCCGATTTTCAATGGAAGAATAAGGCTATTATCTACAGCATAAATCGCAGATAAGTTATTCGGTACTTTTTTCGTCAAATAAGAGTTTATTTGACGAATAACTATCAAATATAATTGATAATAGCAAAGATAACAGTTGTCTATATTTTTTACTTTGATTGTCATTTGCCTGTTTTCATTTAATATTATATCGGTTTTTAAAATGTTATATGATTTTTAATATCAATTCACGTATAAAAATAGATTTATTGGAAATCATAGATGATCATCATCATCATGAAATTATCGAATTTTTAAACTATCAACGTTGAATATAATAGACAGTCAAAATTTGCATTTTTGTTACTGACTCACTCACTTATTCATCATCAAAATTATAAGACACTTCCAGTATAGGCAGAAACGTGAAATTTGGCACAAAAGTGAATCTTATGGTGTAAGTAAAGGGAAAAATCAGAAAATTGAAATTTACTCAAAATTAATGCGCTAGGTGGGGGGGATTAATGACCTTCGCCGCACTACAAGCGGCACAGGGCGCTGTTGATTCCCACGTCTCTAGTCCGCCATCATTTGGTCATAGTTTGTGTCTTTGTTATTTCATGTTTACATGTATGGCAGTGTAGCAGTGTTCTTGTTACGTTTGTCACGTGGTTTATTATTAAGTGTAATTGTACACCTAAACGTTTAGTTTCGTTTGTACGTTTAAAATACTAAACTAGATTTATAGTGGTTACTTGTATAAATGCTAGCTTCACTAATTTATTAATTAAATTGCACTATATTAATTTTGACTAATTTAATTACTATCGTGGTTTATTAATAATTAATAAATTATTAATCACTATGCAAGTAGCTACTTGTATAAATTGTAGCTTCATTACAAAGTGTAGTTTTATGTACATATAAACATATACATCATGTACATTTCTACGTAGTTGATATAACAACACGTTAAAACAAGAGAAAATCTACGACGTACAATATACATTCAATGCCTTTTAAAAAAAAACCTCGCCCGCAAAAAGAAATGATATCTCCAACAAAAACCTAACAGTGAAAAAAGGCCAAGTTCCACGCCCCTCCCAAAAATGTCAACCTATCAAAGTAGTGTTATCTACATTGTAGCCAAGTCTGCTATTTCTTTAGTTCATAACCACACTTCACTCCTACTTGCATGAGCAACACTGCTCTTTTATATGTATTGCTTAACACTTGGCCTCCATAGTCTTGAGCTTGATGTAAACATTCTTGTGCTAACTCCAAGTCGGCTTGCGCTGAAGCCAATTCAGATAGTTGTCTCTATTTCTGAGGACTTGAAGCTTCTTTCACTAATACCAAAGCTTTGGCCAAGTTATGTAGTTCAATAGCTAGTTTAAATTTGTGTTCAACATCAGTTGATACGACTAACGCTTGCTTTTTGTAACCCTGAAAATTAAAAATAAATAACAGTGTTTAAGATGTGTGACGGGATGGTCTTGATGGCCGAAAAACCCAAGAAGGAGAACAGTTTTTAAGACTTAGAAAAAACTTAGAAAAAAATAGGAATTTATTTTTATTTTTATATTCCTCGTTTACTTGTTTTTTTAAGACAGCATTGAGACAGCACCGATGGTAGAATGCGTTATGCTATTTCAAAGTCTTTTTACAAGACTGTCGTTTCGTATTCTAGCGAGGACACTAGTAGGCTATAAGAAACAATGGTAAGTTTTTTGTCGCCTAAATAAAGACCATTTTCATTGGCTACGTATCCCAAGAGATACGTTGTACAATCGAGATAAGATACAGTCTTACTTTTTTATAGTTTCTTATTTAATTGTTATTATTAACATTTATATTTATTTTTTTTTCTTTCACTCTTGTATTTACCCTTAGCTTATACATTTTTATACATTCTACTACTCTACTTTGGGCACTGCCTGTGAAGTGATAACAAAAAAAGGAATAAAAGAAGTTATCAAATAATTGTATAAATATATATTTTAAACAAATTACAATAGTCATTATATAAAATTATTATGATTATGTAGTTTTATTTAATCATTACAAACACTAGTGTCTAGTAGCTTACAATATTTAACGTGCACTGATTAAACACAATATCTAACAATATAATTAAAAATACATTTTGCTCCAGAAGTATAAAAATATGTTTCAATAAACATTGATTGAAATAAGTAACGCACATATACACATTTTTATGTTAGTAATAAAATAAAAAATATATTACTATATAATTTTAAGTTAAAATTTATAAACTTCGATTATTGAGAAAATAAACTTGAGTAAATATATTTTTGAGGGTAATCAATCAGAGTGTACGCGTTTGTTGTGTTTTGTGAGGCTTGATTTATCAGTAAACGACTTAAAACATACAGCACATTTGTAGGGTTTTTCACCAGTATGTACTCGTTCATGTATTGTAAGGAGGTTTTTATATGAAAATGACTTTAAACATACAGTACATTTGTAGGGTTTATCACCAGTATGTACTCGTTCATGTTTTGTGAGATTTCCGTTTAAGGAAAACGATTTTAAGCAGACCGCACATTTGTAGGGTTTTTCTCCTGAGTGCACTCGTTTGTGATTTGTGAGGTGTGAATTTGTATAAAATGACTTTAAACAAACATCACATTTGTAGGGTTTTTCTCCTGAGTGCACTCGTTTGTGATTTGTGAGGTGTGAATTTGTATAAAATGACTTTAAACAAACATCACATTTATAAGGTTTTTCTCCAGTGTGCACGCGTTTATGTTTTGTGAGGTCTGAATTTGTATAAAATGACTTTAAACAAACATCACATTTATAAGGTTTTTCTCCAGTGTGCACGCGTTTATGTTTTGTGAGGTCTGAATTTGTATAAAATGACTTTAAACAAACATCACATTTATAAGGTTTTTCTCCAGTGTGCACGAGTTCGTGATCTTTGAGAGTGCGTTTAACAGAAAATGACTTTAAACACACCAAACATTTGTATGGTTTTTCTCCAGTGTGCACGCGTTCGTGAACTGTTAGATTAATTTTTGAAAAAACGCCTTTGAGCAAAGAGCACATTCGTATGGTTTTTCTCCTGAGTGCACGCGTTCATGAGCTGTTAGATTAGTTTTTTGAGAATACGACTTTGAGCAAAACGTACATTTATAGGGCTTTTCTCCAGTGTGCACGCGTTTATGTTGTTTTAAATGGCATTTTTGAGAAAACGACTTTGAGCAAACAGCGCATTTATAGGGCTTTTCACCAGTGTGTACTCGTTCGTGTTTGGTAAGTAGTGATTTAATCGAAAAATCTTTAAAACAAACATTACATTTGTAGTGTCGGATGATGTTTTTGGTGAATGCTCTAGTATATTTTTTGCTATGTATAATGTTATTTTTTCGGGTAAAATATTTGTTATTTGAACTTTTGTGGGATTTTACTATATGTAATGTTATTTGCTTTTTAGTACGGTACGACGTTTGACAAAAATCGCAGTGGAATATTCGTCGATCTTTTATATCTTTTTTGTCATTCTTTGGGGCTATTTGATTATTGACACCTTTTTCAATCCAAGACTCGACTTGACAACCATTAGTTTGTTTATTTTCTTCATAACTCGAGTCATTGACTCTACAACAAAACATGTCAGACAATAAATAATAATGTTTAAAATAATTATAAACTTCTCACGTTAGTACATATTATGTTAATACCCTTTTCTATTTACACCTATGCAATTTGTGTTTGATAAGTTTTTTATTTTATTGGAACTAAAATTATCTTTGACTATAAGTATTGATGTATAAAAATATTTAAAATTATGCTGTTTTCATCCCGAAGCTTAAATTTCTAACGTTGTATCTCTCTCTTTTATTATATATTCTATTTGAAAGGAAAACAATTGATGAGTCTTACAATAAGATAGTTAGAAAACGTGTGAACATTTAAGGACCAATTTCTATTTTCAACTAACTATATAATTAGTATATGAATGTGAGTATCCCACAGTTTTTTACTAGCCAATATCTACTTCATTTTTTCTTTATTAAAAATTGAAAGGCGACTTTAACTGCTAATTTACAAGTTTAATAAATTGTTGTGTCGTGAATTATACAGTACCTATTTAAATAATAAGAGATGTAATGAATAAGAAGAATATTTTTAAAACTTCGTTTTAACGAAAAAACATTTTAAGAAAATTGATAAATTAAATGAAACTGCCTTACGTAAGACGATTTTTGATAACTTGAGTTGCAGTGTTTTTCTGTGTTGATGCGTGTGCACTATGTAATCGAATTATGTGCTGGGTCACTCTCCGTTTAGTGTTAAAATACATCTTACATAAATCACACGCAAATTGCTGTATTTTGTCCAAACCGTTTTTAGTAGGTTGCACATCTAAGAGACCATTTTTTTCAACCTCAATCACGGACTCGAAATAATGTCCGTTTAATAAATCGGCTTCGACTTGAACTATCGTTGTATTGCTCACTTTTCTGTAACTAAAAAAAAGAAATATTTATTTAAAATCTCAAAACTTAAATATATAATATTGCTAACAAGCGAGTATTATAGAAAAGTATACTTTGCGCTATCAGTAAAACAATTCTTCGTTTGTAGTGACTGTGCGATCTTTAACATTAACTTTGTATATAGGTATTTAGTTATAATATGTAATCAGAAAAACGAATTACTTGTATATATTCCCGTCAAATGTTTTTTGAAGATCGTTCTGTGCTGTCACATAACTATTATAGGTTTTTTCAATATTTATTGATTTTGTTTCTTCTATGGAGGTTTCTGTTAATTCCTGTTTTATATCATCGTCGTATTTATAAATTTTGTTCTCTATGCCATGGTAATAACCGTCTGTTTTGTCTTCAACTTTGATTTTCGAATCACTAACGCTGAAAAATAAAATATAATTAAAAAAATGATATTAATTAAAAAGAATCAGAAAATCTGTAAAATTAATTTATAATAAGAACTAAGAAAAAACATAATAAAAAAGTGAGTTTATAGTTGATGTTGTTGTCTTTAGTTAGATGTAATTAAAGTATTAAAATTTCTAAAAATTATATTGGTTAAATTTTATACTTGGATATGTTTTATATATTGGTTATTGAGAATAGTGTCATAGTTTTAAAATAAGGAAATATACATCAAATACATGTATAAGTAACCTCAATACTTGTATTTAAAATATATTATTATAAAAATTATATTACTTGTATCCATTCGCGTCGATTGTATTTTGTTGCTCTTTCCCTCGTTCATTTTCTTCTTCCACTTCAAAAATAGACTTATAATAATAATCGTCCGTTTCTCCTACTTCAATTTTAATTCCCCCTGCTTCATTAAGTCTAAAAAATAGAGTAAATTGTTTTAATTAGTATCGATTCTTCTATATTTACATTGCCGAAATAATTATTAATATTTTATATAATAGGAAGTATGTTGCAATATAAATATGTTGTTTATCTTTATAATAAAAATACTTAGTTACTAAACAGGAAAATGTTATTAGAAAACCAAGATTTCTTTTTAAACACCTGTTTTTGTCAGACTTGTGGTTTTAGGTTGTTTGTAAGAGCTCAGGGCTTATTCTATCTGTAACTTTTTTTATGTGTATAACGGGTGTATTATTGTTACACTGTTTTGTTATATTCTATGTAATAATATTATCTATCATTGTAATTACTATATGTGTTTGACAATAGTAGCACAGATTAGATAATTTATCTTATCTTATTTTTGATAGTAGTGTGTTAGGTTAGGAGAGTAATGAATGTTATTATAGAAAAGTGTACAACGCGCTATCAGTAAAACGATCTTTTGATTATTACTTTGTATTTAGGTATTTACTTATAATATGTAATCAGAAAAACGAATTACTTGTATATATTCCCGTCAAATATTTTTTGAAGATCGTTCCGTGCTGTCACACGACTATTATATAATTTTTCAATGTTACTCGATTTTGTTTCACTTATAAAGGTTTCAGATAATTCCTTTTTCATATCTTCATTGTCTTTATCAATTTTGTTCTCTATGCTATGGTAATAACCGTTTGTTTTGTCTTCAACTTTGATTTTCGAATCAACAACGCTGAAAAATAAAATATAATTAAAATAATTATAATAATTAAAAATAATCAAAAAACCTGTAAAATAAACTTATAATGAGAACTAAAAAAGTTAGGTGTATTTAAAATATTTAATTCTAAAAGTTATTTCTGATATTTTATATTTTTTTAATTATTGGTTTTTGACAATAGTGACAAAGTTTTAAAATAAGAAAATATACATTAAAAAATGTATTTAATTGTGTCCGGATACTGAAAATAAATGATTATTATGGGTGACCACAATACTTATTTATTACCATATATTTAAAATATTTTATTCTAAAAATTATATTACTTGTATTCATTCGCGTCGATTGTATTTTGTTGCTCTTTCCCTTGTTTATTTTCTTCTTCTACCTCAAAAATAGACTTATAATGATAATCGTCCGTTTCTCCTTCTTCAATTTTAATACCTCCTGCTTCATTAAGTCTAAAAAATGGAGTACATTTTTTTAATTAGTATTGATTCTTCTATATTTAAAATAAATATAATAAATAACTATAGATATACACTGTAGAAGTTTGGGAAAATATATAGGTATATAAAACAATAATTATCACTAAATGTAAATCCAACCGCTCATGTTATGGAAAAGTAAACAATTATTTGAATACGAACCAGACTGTCCTAAGACAAATACTTTTAAAATAACAAGTCTATTTCTCCAAGGACTTGTCACGAGATGTTGTAATGTAGGTAATTATTTTGTTACTACGGGAAATATGCCTCTTTGTGGAAGCATATTTTGCCTTAACAATATTTTGACCGCTCTCAAATTTTTTAATTTCACTATGATATTTGAAATCTATAACCTCAACAGATCCCTTAACCTACTCACGCAACGCCCTGAGAGTTGCGACACACAGTTTGAATATTCCAATATATCATTTAATTAAATCTCAATAAAATATAAAACGTAAAACTATCAGCTTATTATGTTCCAAAAAAGTTGGTGGTTATTTTTTTTAAATAAATTGGTTATATCTTTTTATATAAATTCACATTGAGTGTCAACTAATAACTTTTTTAAGATTTGACTTATTCATCAAACATAATTTAATAACAACATAGCCCTTATTTAATAACAATATGTTAAATAACCTATATGCATCTCCATCAATAATATTTTTATAATCGTTTTGGTTTGTCGTAGAACTTTTGTATGAGTTCTCCATGTGATTTGGTTCTGTTATTTTCAATAAGGCTTTAGAACACTGCTCTATCTCGATCTTATTATCTTCTAGTTTGATAATGGTTCCATTGCTATGATCGTCCATTTTAACTCTGGGTTTTTGTTTATTTCTCACTAGTAATCTAAAACCAAAGCGTATTTACAAAAATTAATACAAGAACTCATGACTTTTTTTTATTAAAAATTATAATAGCCTTAGTCTAAACACATTAAAAAAAAATTATGAGTGGGGACAGACTTTTTTGCAAAATAAAGCAAAATCATTGTTCACAGGAAAATCAAAACCTTAGAAGCATTGTACACTTAAGAGGGCGTCGCACCGGTGGCAACCTAACCGGTGTTCAGTGGTAAAAACATGTTTAAGCAGACTGAAAACAACTTGCTTAATTTGGGTTTTGGAGTAAAAGCACCTATAATAAAATTAAAAGAGAAAATATTCCAGAGGGCAGAGACGGTGCGTTTTTTTTTAAAAAATTAATTTTTTGAAAAGTTACAGTCGTATAAAAATATTAAAACAGTCGTTATTTCTATACTTTGTATTGAGCGTTATACTAAGAATAATGAAAAAAAGGCACTGTCTTACCCCCGAAATATTGTTTTCTTTTAATTTTATAATTTTAACTAAATAATACAAACATTAAGCGCCCAAGACGGATGCCCGAGTATCAAACTAGTGACAGAATGTAACAAACCCACACTACGCCGTACGCACAGGGCACTCCTCCTCTACTTAATAATAGTAATATCTGAACAATAACCATTAAGTAAATAATAACAACTTTAATAAAGCCATTACTACTACTTTTATTGATTATAATTATTTTAGATAGCTAACCAAGACAAATTTTTTTTTTATTCACAGATACAAGACGGGCGCTAGTAGTATTTTTTACAATTAAAATAACACTGGTAGCGTCCGTTCAGTGTCAGCGTACATAACTTAAATTTGTTTCGTTTGGTTATCTATAATATTTATAATAAACGCTACTATACTGAATGTTACTTAACTTTTGCCATCACAACGGTTGTTATTATATTCTTCTCATAATATATACACTGAGAAAATGATTTGTTTGATAAGGTAAAACATTACAGATGGTATAAAGAAAAACTATAAAGCAATTTAAACAGTACATACACTGTCTTTCACCACATACACAAACACATATATACATATACAGTACATATATATTATTTCAATGTCAAGATAATAATTTTAAAAGAATAATATTATAATCAAATGTGCAATGACAGGAGCGTGATACAATCCACATTAGCCACAACCGACAAAGTATATGCAAACAAGCAATCGCACGTCCGTTCTCAAACATGAAGCCACTATTATCTAACACCCACAATGTTTATTAACAAATATTCAAATTGCACGTCTGCTGTGGCGTCAATTCTCATACATGATGGCAATATTGTCTAAAATACAAGCCCATATTGATTAGTTTTTAAATTTCACAGAACACACAATTTACGAATAATTAATCTGAAATATGCTCAGTGTTTTTATTTTATAATATAAAACCATCTTCCTGTGTCAACCAGATCATCAAAGAAATTCTAAATAACTTGCAATATTCTTAATTTAAGAACTCAGGCTAATATAACGTAAATAGTTGTCACTATTAACAAAAAAACAGTCGAAACCTTATCGTAAATTCTTATCAATGATTGTTCCTACGACCACTGACGACACTACTGACTATAACTTTTTAAGTCAACATCGAATGTATGAAATTCATTTAAATTATTAAAAAATCAATGTCCAACCAGTAAAACCGTAGAATACTAAAACATTTTTATACATAAATAAATAGAACCAATACGTTGCACGGTACTTACTATTACACAGCTATAGAACAAGAATGTATCTCAAGGCTCTGTTCCCGTAAAACAGGTATAAAATCACTCACGAAGTCAAATTTGTGTCATGTGTATGGATATACGTCATACAATATTGCATATTATTAAAAAAATTTTTCATGTTTTAGAGAAAGTTGGATGCCAAAACAACATTTACATTGTTACGTCATGATAATGATGTTTGTGTGTGTGTGAGTTTTTGTGTGTGATAGGGGTGATAACCACCGGCTGGAGATGCAATGCAGTGAAGGTAAAATGAAAAGTGCGGGCTTTTCAAAATAGTCGATTTACGTCTAAATCTGTAGGGAATATTCTTTAAACATTATACTGCCCATAAAAATAGAATCCAAAAAAATTATCATAAACCCATTTCACAAGAACGTATAGAATTGTTTTCTTTATTACACATTTCAAGCAAAGTTTTTGGGATTTAAGTCTGAAAATTAGGCAGATTTAGAATGTTTACGGTTTATTAATATTATTAATATACCGTAATAATATTAATAAACTCATGTATTATATTGTTCGTGTAGACTTGTGTTATACTATCTTTATTGGTTTAAAAAACAGCTTTTTAGTACACGTCAGATAGGAAATATAACTTATGATGGCCTGCATATCGGTAGCGCGCTCTATAGACAGCGTAACGCGGCGTGACCGCTATGAGCCAGTCGAAAACATACACCGTCGAGTAACCTGTTTATCTATAACCGTGGCTAACACACACGTCATTATCAAAGATTCAGTGCGTGGTTGTATACCTGTCGTTTGACGTGGTTAGGGATCAGATCCTTGACAAACAATTTCATCGCATTGCTGTGTATTAGTAAGTATCGAGTAACATGATGGTGTTATTTATTGATTTATAACAATTAATTAGATTATTTAGTTTATCGGGTGGGTAATGAATTTTAAACAATTTCAATGTTTTGCATACATTCGTTTGTCGAGTAATTTGACTTGTGGAGTGAGTTGAGCCGTCAGTGGTCGTAGAAACGATAATTGATAAGAAGTTACGTATAGGAGTCGACTGTGGTTTTTTGGTTAATTTTGAGTTCTATAATATAGAATAATAAATAATATGTTAAGTTCTCTATTGTAGTGTGAATGGTTTTCCTATTGTCTGTTTAGTTAATACCGAAGGCCTAGCTTGAAGTTGAATGCGATTTCCCCTGTCGTTGCCACAGTCATTCTAATTGTTGTATTATTATAACCTTTATCGATTGATAACTGTGGACGCATTCGGGCTATGAAAAATCGAATTTACACCTACTCAAAATATCATACAGCGCGTATAGATTTCTACACATTAAAAAAATTAAGTGTTTATATAATTGAATATGTTGATAAGCCCGCGCTTTTTAATATTTATCTTCACTGTATTCTACCTCCAGCCAGCCATCGCGGTTGCCACTGTTATCACATATTCACGTTAACACATACATACACACATCATTATCAAGTGTACGGTAGCGTCTGTAACATAATAATGTATTTACTGTCTCTGACTTACCCAAAGTGAATGATTTGTTTGAAACGGTCTAAAATAGTTGTATGTTTATGAACATAATATTATAATAAAAAAAAAGATTCAGTGCGTGGTTTTATACCTGTCGTTTGACGTTGTTAGAGATCAGAGCCTTGACGAACAATATCATCGCATTGCTGTGTATTAGTAAGTACCGAGTAACATTATGGTTTTATTTATTGATTTTTAACAATTAGATTACTTAGTTTATGGAGTGGGTAATGAATTTTAAACAATTTCAATGTTTTTCATACATTTGTTTGTCAAGTAATTTGACTAGTGGAGTGAGTTGTGCCGTCAGTGGTCATTACAATATAAATAATTAAACATGACAACTGTCATTTAGCTAAGTATACTAATTGAGTGTTTTAGTTTGTCTGTCCAAGCTTTATGTGAGAATGTGTTGTGGGTAATCGTGTATTGTGTGAAATTTAAAAACTTATAATTGTGGGTTTTTAGACAATATTGTCATCATATATGAGGATTGATGCCACAGCGGACGTGCAATTCAAATATTTGTAACTAAACAGTGTGGGTTTTACCTAATAGGGGCTTCTTGTGTGTGAACGGACGTGCGATTGCTTGTTTGCATATACTTTGTCGGTTGTGGCTAATGTGGATTGTATCACGCTTCTGGTAATTGTACATTTGATTATAATATTATTCTTTTAAAATTATCATAATAATATACACAAATTCAATTTTTTTTTTTTTTTTAACTAAAAACCCGGTGTACCAGATGGGATAAACGAACAGACACTAACAACTATTAGTTGGTAACGTCTATCCGTGTTAGATTAGGTTAGGGCTCAATGATCGGTATCATAATATTGTGTTTATTACATGATATCACAGACGACTAAATCGTGTAACTGATTATAGTAGACATTCGATTTACTGGGAAAAAACCTATCCTTGTACTTATTAAGACACTTAATGGTTCTGATATGACAAAATCACTGTCGTTATCTCGTTTTTTTATAGCCTGCGTTATATAACCTTATCGAAGGTCAACTATGAATATATAAGGTCCAACTACCTGCAAATTAAGAAGAGGACTGTTGTTTTTTTGATTCAAATTAAGTGTTGGTTTTTATGCAGTATACCGCCTCAAAATGTATATTTTATTACACAATTTTTTTAAAGGAAAACTAATGTTTTGCATATTGTTATACTGTTATTCATTTAAAGAGATTTACGTTTGATTGTTTAAATTGTCTAATATTAGATAATCTGCTTCGTGCTATTTTTAATTTTTTAGTTTGTCAACTTGTAGCTCTAATTTTGTATAAAATATTTCATTATTTTATTACTATGTACAAATTAAGATAAATATTAATAATAATTAAGTCATAAATGATAATACTTTATTTTATGACTAGATCAAATCTCGTGCACATTTAATATCATGATACTGCTCCTATGCTATTATGAAAAAAACACAATTTTTAAAATCTCCATAAAAGGTTATTGTTAAATAACAGGCAACAGCCGACCTCTAGTGGCTATACACGTTAATAATATTTAACTAATAAGTAATATATGTAGGTAAAATTTTTTGTTTTCTCCATCATAGTACCAGTATACGATTTATTTTAATTTAAATGTAAGAAAATCGATTTTTCTTTAGAAAATAACAAGAAATTAATATACAGGATAAGGCAGCAAAACGGCGATTTTCTAATGTATTTAAATGGTAAAACCCGTTTCACTATCCCACCCTTTACATTTTAAGGATCTATGAAAAGGTTTTTTTATTTGCATTTTATTTTGTACATTGTCAATCTAGTTAAATAGAAGTATAATATAGCTTTGAAATAATATAATCTAGGAAGTATAAATAGTTTGTGTGAGATTGCTCTAATGGAAGTATATAATACATAAATATTAATATTATTGAGAATAAGCGATTATAATTTAAACTATGGAGTACAAACGATTGAATCATGAATCGTCGACCATTCCAACAAAATATAACAAGACATTGTTTTTGTGTTATTTGGTCCACTACGTTTTTGCAAAAAAAACCAGTACAGTGGGGTCGGGGCATAGTGGGGATGGAGCATAGTTGGGTCGGGGCATAGTGGTGACGGGGAGGTCACAGGTTTACAGAAATTTTTAAATCTGAAAGTGATAAAATCACTTTCGAAAAAACGCTTCGATGCAAATCGGTAGTTATTATTTTCAAGTCAGTACAGTCTAAACCAAGCACAGTATAAACATGCAAAGTTAGAAAGTTTTAAATGAAGGTTCTGTATTTACAAATGAGCATCAAAGCGTTAATTTGAAAGCGATTTTATTCAATTTTATCACTATTATTTATAATAATTCTTGTAGACCTGTGACCTCTCCGTTTCCTCATTGCTTTAATTACATTATGCCAATACTCTACTGTACTAGTCCTCTCGGATAAAATCGCTTTCAAATTAACGCTTTGATGCTCATTTGTAAATACAGAACCTTCATTTAAAACTTTCTAACTTTGCTGGTTTATACTGTGCTTGGTTTGGACTGTACTGACTTGAAAATACTAACTACCGATTTGCATCGAAGCGTTTTTTCGAAAGTAATTTTATCACTTTCAGATTTAAAAATTTCTGTAAACCTGTGACCTCCCCGACACCACTATGCCCCGACCCAACTGTACTGGTTTTTTTATCTCTATATGTTTAAGCAGACTGAAGATAATTCGCTTAATTTTGGATTTGGAGTAAAAGCACCCATTATAAAATTGAAAGAAAACAATATTTCGGAGGGTAAGACGGTGCCTTTTTTTCATTATTCTTCGTATAACGCTCAATACAAAGTTTCAAAAAAAGTCTGTCCCCACTTATAATTTTTTTTTAATGTGTTTAGACTAAGGCTATTATAATTTTTAATAAAAAAAAGTCATGAGTTCTTGTATTAATTTTTGTAAATACGCTTTGGTTTTAGATTACTAGTGAGAAATAAACAAAAACCCAGAGTTAAAATGGACGATCATAGCAATGGAACCATTATCAAACTAGAAGATAATAAGATCGAGATAGAGCAGTGTTCTAAAGCCTTATTGAAAATAACAGAACCAAATCACATGGAGAACTCATACAAAAGTTCTACGACAAACCAAAACGATTATAAAAATATTATTGATGGAGATGCATATAGGTTATTTAACATATTGTTATTAAATAAGGGCTATGTTGTTATTAAATTATGTTTGATGAATAAGTCAAATCTTAAAAAAGTTATTAGTTGACACTCAATGTGAATTTATATAAAAAGATATAACCAATTTATTTAAAAAAAATAACCACCAACTTTTTTGGAACATAATAAGCTGATAGTTTTACGTTTTATATTTTATTGAGATTTAATTAAATGATATATTGGAATATTCAAACTGTGTGTCGCAACTCTCAGGGCGTTGCGTGAGTAGGTTAAGGGATCTGTTGAGGTTATAGATTTCAAATATCATAGTGAAATTAAAAAATTTGAGAGCGGTCAAAATATTGTTAAGGCAAAATATGCTTCCACAAAGAGGCATATTTCCCGTAGTAACAAAATAATTACCTACATTACAACATCTCGTGACAAGTCCTTGGAGAAATAGACTTGTTATTTTAAAAGTATTTGTCTTAGGACAGTCTGGTTCGTATTCAAATAATTGTTTACTTTTCCATAACATGAGCGGTTGGATTTACATTTAGTGATAATTATTGTTTTATATACCTATATATTTTCCCAAACTTCTACAGTGTATATCTATAGTTATTTATTATATTTATTTTAAATATAGAAGAATCAATACTAATTAAAAAAATGTACTCCATTTTTTAGACTTAATGAAGCAGGAGGTATTAAAATTGAAGAAGGAGAAACGGACGATTATCATTATAAGTCTATTTTTGAGGTAGAAGAAGAAAATAAACAAGGGAAAGAGGGAACAAGGGAACTCAAAATTAACCAAAAAACCACAGTCGACTCCTATACGTAACTTCTTATCAATTATCGTTTCTACGACCACTGTCGGCACAACTCACTCCACTAGTCAAATTACTCGACAAACGAATGTATGAAAAACATTGAAATTGTTTAAAATTCATTACCCACACGATACACTAGGTAATCTAATTAATTGTTAAAAATCAATAAATAAAACCATAATGTTACTCGATACTTACTAATACACAGCAATGCGATGAGATTGTTTGTCAAGGATCTGATCCCTAACCACGTCAAACGACAGGTATACAACCACGCACTGAATCTTTGATAATGACGTGTGTGTTAGCCACGGTTATAGATAAACAGGTTACTCGACGGTGTATGTTTTCGACTGGCTCATAGCGGTCACGCCGCGTTACGCTGTCTATAGAGCGCGCTACCGATATGCAGGCCATCATAAGTTATATTTCCTATCCGACGTGTACTAAAAAGCTGTTTTTTAAACCAATAAAGATAGTATAACACAAGTCTACACGAACAATATAATACATGAGTTTATTAATATTATTACGGTATATTAATAATATTAATAAACCGTAAACATTCTAAATCTGCCTAATTTTCAGACTTAAATCCCAAAAACTTTACTTGAAATGTGTAATAAAGAAAACAATTCTATACGTTCTTGTGGAATAGGTTTATGATAATTTTTTTGGATTCTATTTTTATGGGCAGTATAATGTTTAAAGAATATTCCCTACTGATTTAGACGTAAATCGACTATTTTTGAAAAGCCCGCGCTTTTCAGTTTACCTTCACTGCATTGCATCTCCAGCCGGTGGTTATCACCCCTATCACACACAAACACTCACACACACACAAACATCATTATCATGACGTAACAATGTAAATGTTGTTTTGGCATCCAACTTTCTATAAAACATGAATAATTTTTTTAATAATATGCAATATTGTATGAAGTATATCCATATACATGACACAAATTTGACTTCGTGAGTGATTTTATACCTGTTTTACGAGAACAGAGCCTCGAGATACATTATTGTTCTATAGCTGTGTAATAGTAAGTACCGTGCAAAATATTGGTTCTATTTATTAAAAATGTTTTAGTATTCTACGGTTTAACAGGTTAGACATTGAGTTTTTTAATCATTTAAATGAATTTCATACATTCGATGTTGACTTAAAATGTTATAGTCAGATGTGCCGTCAGTGGTCGTAGGATCAATAATTGATAAGAATTTACGATAAGGTTTCGACTGTTTTTTTGTTAATAGTGACATCTATTTACGTTATAATAGCCTGAGTTCTTAAATTAAGAATATTGTAAATTATTTAGAATTTCTTTGATGTTCTGGTTGATTCAGGAAGATGGTTTTGTATTATAAAAAAAAAACACTGAGGATATTTCAGATTAATTATTCGTAAATTGTGTCTTGTGTGAAATTTAAAAACTTATCATTGTGGGTATTTATTTTAGACAATATTGTCATCATGTATGAGGATTGACGCCACAGCAGACGTGCAATTTGAATATTTGTTAATAAACATTGTGGGTGTTAGATAATAGTGGCTTCATGTTTGAGAACGGACGTGCAATTGCTTTTTTGCATATACTTTGTCGGTTGTGGGTAATGTGGATTGTATCACGCTTCTGTCATTGCACATTTTATTATAATATTATTCTTTTAAAATTATTATCTTTACATTGAAATAATATATATGTACTGTATATGTGTTTGTGTATGTGCTGAAAGACAGCGTATGTACTGTTTAAATTGCTTTATAGTTTTTCTTTATACCATTTGTAATGTTTTACCTTATCAAACAAATCATTTTCTCAGTGTATATATTATGAGAAGAATATAATAACAACCGTTGTGATGGCAAAAGTTAAGTAACATTCAGTATAGTAGCGTTTATTATAAATATTATAGATAACCAAACGAGACAAATTTAAGTTATGTACGCTGACACTGAACGGACGCTACCAGTGTTATTTTAATTGTAAAAAATACTTGCCCTCCGGAATATTGTTCTCTTTTAATTTTATAATGGGTGCTTTTACTCTAAAACCAAAATTAAGCAAGTTATTTTCAGTCCGCTTAAACATGTTTTTACCACTGAACATTACCGGTGCGACGCCCTTTTAAGTGTACAATGCTTCTAAGGTTTTGATTTTCCTGTGAACAATGGTTTTGCTTTATTTTGCAAGAAAGTCTGTCCCCACTCATAATTTTTTTTTAATGTGTTTAGACTAAGGCTATTATAATTTTTAATAAAAAAAAGTCATGAATTCTTGTATTAATTTTTGTAAATACGCTTTGGTTTTAGATTACTCGTGAGAAATAAACAAAAACCCAGAGTTAAAATGACCAATCTTAGCAATGGAACCATTATCAAACTAGAAGAAAATAAGATCGAGATAGAGCAGTGTTCTAAAGCCTTATTGAAAACAACAGAACCAAATCACATAGAAAACTCATACAAAAGTTCTACGACAAACCAAAACGATTATAAAAGAATTATTGATGGAAATGCATATAGGTAATTATGATATTGTTATTAAATTACAATATAGCTCGGTTGGATAAATAAGTCAAATCAAAAATTTGAGAGCCGTCAAAATATTGTTAAGACAAAATACGCTTCCACAAAGAAGCATATTTCCCGCATAGAGTGGTTACAAAACAATTACCAACATTACAACATCTTGTGACATGTTAAAAAATTTATCTGACGTATTCAAACAGTTTTTAGACAATCCACAATGATCCTCAAAAAATAATTGACAACGATGCATAGAGTAATAACAATTTTTAATTAAGTTATTTTACACATTTTGTTAAGAAAAAACCATAACCTAATTAAAATGAGTACAGACATTCTATGACAAAATCCTTGGAGTAATAGACTTGTTATTTTAAAAGTATTTGTCTTAGGACAGTCTGGTTCGTATTCAAATAATTGTTTACTTTTCCATAACATGAGCGGTTAGATTTACATTTAGTGATAATTATTGTTTTATATACCTATATAATTTCCCAAACTTCTACAGTGCATATCTATAGTTATTTATTATATTTATTTTAAACATGTATTAACTAAGTATTTTTTTTGTTAAAGATAAACAACATATTTATATTGCGACATACTTCCTATTATATAAAATATTTATAATTATTTCGACAATGTAAATATAGAAGAATCGATACTAATTAAAAAAATGTACTCCATTTTTTAGACTTAATGAAGCAGGAGGTATTAAAATTGAAGAAGGAGAAACGGACGATTATTATTATAAGTCTATTTTTGAGGTAGAAGCAGAAAATAAACAATGGAAAGAGCAACAAAATACAATCGACGCGAATGAATACAAGTAATATAATTTTTAGAATAAAATATTTTAAATATATGGTAATAAATAAGTATTGTGGTCACCCATAATAATCATTTATTTTCAGTATCCGGACACAATTAAATACATTTTTAATGTATATTTTCTTATTTTAAAACTTTGTCACTATTGTCAAAAACCAATAATTAAAAAAATATAAAATATCAGAAATAACTTTTAGAATTAAATATTTTAAATACACCTAATTTTTTTAGTTCTCATTATAAGTTTATTTTACAGGTTTTTTGATTATTTTTAATTATTATAATTTTTTTAATTATATTTTATTTGTCAGCGTTGTTAATTCGAAAATCAAAGTTGAAGACAAAACAGACGGTTATTACCATAGCATAGAGAACAAAATTGATAAAGACAATGAAGATATGAAAAAGGAATTATCTGAAACCTTTATAAGTGAAACAAAATCGAGTAACATTGAAAAATTATATAATAGTCGTGTGACAGCACGGAACGATCTTCAAAAAATATTTGACGGGAATATATACAAGTAATTCGTTTTTCTGATTACATATTATAACTAAATACCTAAATACAAAGTAATAATTAAAAGATCGTTTTACTGATAGCGCGTTGTACACTTTTCTATAATAACATTCATTACTCTCCTAACCTAACACACTACTATCAAAAATAAGATAAGACAGATTATCTAATCTGTGCTACTATTGTCAAACACATATAGTAATTACAATGATAGATAATATTATTACATAGAATATAACAAAACAGTGTAACAATAATACACCCGTTATACACATACAAAAAGTTACAGATAGAATAAGCCCTGAGCTCTTACAAACAACCTAAAACCACAAGTCTGACAAAAATAGGTGTTAAAAAGAAATCTTGGTTTTCTAATAACATTTTCCTGTTTACTAACTAAGTATTTTTATTATAAAGATAAACAACATATTTATATTGCGACATACTTCCTATTATATAAAATATTAATAATTATTTCGACAATGTAAATATAGAAGAATCGATACTAATTAAAACAATTTACTCTATTTTATAGACTTAATGAAGCAGGAGGAATTAAAATTGAAGTAGGAGAAACGGACGATTATTATTATAAGTCTATTTTTGAGGTAGAAGCAGAAAATAAACAATGGAAAGAGCAACAAAATACAATCGACGCGAATGAATACAAGTAATATAATTTTTATAATAATATATTTTAAATACAAGTATTGATGTTACTTATACATTTATTTGATGTATATTTCCTTATTTTAAAACTATGACACTATTCTCAATAACCAATATTTAAAACATATCCAAGTATAAAATTTAACCAATATAATTCTTAGAAATTTTAATACTTTAATTACATCCGTAATTGAAGTTGAAAATAATGGTCTTTTAGATGTGCAACCTACTAAAAACGGTTTGGACAAAATACAGCAATTTGCGTGTGATTTATGTAAGATGTATTTTAACACTAAACGGAGAGTGACCCAGCACATAATTCGATTACATAATGCACATGCATCAACACAGAAAAACACTGCAACTCAAGTTATCAAAAATCGTCTTACGTAAGGCAGTTTCATTTAATTTATCAATTTTCTTAAAATGTTTTTTCGTTAAAACGAAGTAGTAAAAATATTCTTCTTATTCATTACATCTCTTATTATTTAAATATGTACTGTATAAATCACGATACAACAATTTATTAAACTTGTAAATTAGCAGTTAAAGTTGCCTTTCAATTTTTAATAAAGAAAAAATGAAGTAGATATTGGCAAGTAAAAAGCTGTGGGATACTCACGTTCATATACTAATTATATAGTATTTTATAGTTGAAAATAGAAATTCGTCCGTAAATGTTTCACACGTTTTCTAACTATCTTATTGTAAGACTTATCAACTGTTTTCCTTACAAATAGAATAAATAATAAAAGAGAGAGATACAACGTTAAAAATTAAGCTTCCACGCGGGATGAAAACAGCATAATTATCAATATTTTTATACATTAATACTTATAGTCAAAGATAATTTTAGGTCCAATAAAATAAAAAACTTATCAAACACAAATTGCATAGGTGTAAATAGAAAAGGGTATTAACATAATATGTCCTAACGTGAGAAGTTTATAATTATTTTAAACATTATTATTTATTGTCTGACATGTTTTGTTGTAGAGTCAATGATACGAGTTATGAAGGGAATAAACAAACTGATGGTTGTCAAGTCGAGTCTTGGATTGAAAAAGGTGTCAATAATCAAATAGCACGAAAGAATGACAATAAATATATAAAAGAACGACGAATATTCCACTGCGATTTTTGTCAAACGTCGTACCGTACTAAAAAGCAAATAACATTACATATAGTAAAATCCCACAAAAGTTCAAATAACCAATATTCTACCCTAAAAAATAGCATTATACATAACAATAAATATACTAGAGCATTCACCAAAAACATCATCCGACACTACAAATGTGATGTTTGTTTTAAAGATTTTTCGTGTAAATCACTACTCACTAAACACGAACGAGTACACAATGGGGAAAAGCCCTATAAATGCGCTGTTTGCTCAAAGTCGTTTTCTCAAAAATATAATCTAACAGCTCATGAACGAGTGCACACTGGAGAAAAACCTTATAAATGTGATGTTTGTTTAAAGTCATTTTATACAAATTCAGACCTCACAAAACATAAACGCGTGCACACTGGAGAAAAACCTTATAAATGTGATGTTTGTTTAAAGTCATTTTATACAAATTCAGACCTCACAAAACATAAACGCGTGCACACTGGAGAAAACCCTTATAAATGTACTGTTTGTTTAAAGTCGTGTTATTCAAATGCAGACCTCACAAAACATAAACGCGTGCACACTGGAGAAAAGCCCTTTCAGTGTTTGGTATGTTTAAAATCATTTTCTGAAAAACCTTCGCTTACAAATCACAAACGAGTGCACTCAGGAGAAAAACCCTACAAATGTGCGGTCTGCTTAAAATCGTTTTCCTTAAACGGAAATCTCACAAAACATGAACGAGTACATGCTGGTGAAAAACCCTACAAATGTGCTGTATGTTTTAAGTCGTTTACTGATAAATCAAGCCTCACAAAACACAACAAACGCGTACACTCTGATTGATTACCCTTAAAAATATATTTACTCAAGTTTATTTTCTCAATAATCGAAGTTTATAAATTTTAACTTAAAATTATATAGTAATATATTTTTTATTTTATTACTAACATAAAATTGTGTATATGTGCGTTACTTATTTCAATCAATGTTTATTGAAACGTGTTTATATACTTCTAGAGCAAAATGTATTTTTAATTATATTGTTAGATATTGTGTTTAATCAGTGCACGTTAAAAATTGTAAGCTACTCGACACTAGTGTTTGTAATGATTAAACAAAACTACATAATCATCATAATTGTATATAATGACTATTGTAATTTGTTTAAAATATATATTTATACAATTATTTGATAACTTCTTTTTTACATTTTTTTGTTATCACTTCACAGGCAGTGCCCAAAGTAGAGTAGTAGAATGTATAAAAAACTATAAGCTAAGGGTAAATACAAGAGTGAAAGAAAAAAAATATAAATATAAATGTTAATAATAACAATTAAATAAGAAACTATAAAAAAGTAAGACTGTATCTTATCTCGATCGTACAATGTATCTCTTGGGATACGTAGCCAATGAAAATGGTCTTTATTTTGGCGACAAAAAACTTAACATTGTTTCTTATAGCTTACTAGTGTCTTTGCTGGAACACAAAACGATAGTCATGTGAAAAGACTTTGAAATAGCATATCGTATTCTACCATCGGTGCCGTCTCAATACTAGACAAGATTGGCCCATTTCTTAAAAAAACGAGGAATATAAAAATAAAAATAAATTCTGTTTTTTGTCAAGTCTTAAAAACTGTTCTTCTTCTTGGATTTTTCGGCCATCAAGACCATTCCGTCACACATCTTAAACACTGTTATTTATTTTTAATTTTCAGGGTTACAAAAAGCAAGCGTTAGTCGTATCAACTGATGTTGAACACAAATTTAAACTAGCTATTGAACTACAAAACTTGGCCAAAGCTTTGGTATTGGTGAAAGAAGCTTCAAGTCCTCAGAAATGGAGACAACTATCTGAATTGGCTTCGGCGCAAGCCGACTTGGAGTTAGCACAAGAATGTTTACATCAAGCTCAAGACTATGGCGGCCAAGTGTTAAGCAATACATATAAAAGAGCATTGTTGCTCATGCAAGTAGGAGTGAAGTGTGGTTATGAACTAAAGAAATAGCAGACTTGGCTACAATGTAGATAACACTACTTTGATAGGTTGACATTTTTGGGAGGGGCGTGGAACTTGGCCTTTTTTCACTGTTAGGTTTTTGTTGGGGATATCTTTTTTCGTGCTTTAGTATCGTGGGCGAGGTTTTTTTTTAAGAGTATGTATATGTATATATGTACATAAAACTACACTTTGTAATGAAGCTACAATTTATACAAGTAGCCACTTGCATAATGATTAATAATTTATTAATTATTAATAAACCACGATAGTAATTAAATTAGTCATAATTAATATAGTGTAATTTAATTAATAAATTAGTTAAGCTAGCATTTATACAAGTAGCCACTTTAAATCTAGTTTAGTATTTTAAACGTTTAGGTGTACAATTACACTTTATAATAAACCACGTGAAAAACGTAACAAGAACACTGCTACATTGCCATACATGTAAACACGAATTAACAAAGACACAAACTACGACCAAATGATGGCTGACTAGAGACGTGGGAATTAACAGCGCCCTGTACCACTTGTAGTGCGGCGAAGGTCATTAATCCCCACCTAGCGCATTAATTTTGAGTAAATTTCAATTTTCTGATTTTTCCCTTTACTTACACCATAAGACCCACTTTTGTGCCAAATTTCACGTTTCTGCCTATACTGGAAGTGTCTTATAATTTTGATGATGAATGACTGAGTGAGTGAGCAAATTTTAAAATCCTCCCATTTTTAAAACGGCTAAATATTAGGGCTTTAATTTTAGACAGTGTCCTTAACTATTTTAATTTAATTTAGGTTTCAAATTTTAAAAGCCATCATAAGTATCCATCATAAGAAGTAGCAGAGATATGAGAGTTAGAAATACCGGGTGAATTAGTTCGTGTAAAAATACACTGGTATTGCTAGAACTTGGCTGGCGTACTGCCGTGCGCTTAGATAATATACACGAATAGTTTATTATTATGTACTTAATAATATATTTTAATATATTTTTAAACCTCCTATAGTAACCTAAATGATACAATTTGTTTGATTTTTAATTTATTGTAACGATTTATTTTGTATTTTTTCAATTGGTTATAAAGTAGCCACTATAAATCTAGTTTAGTATTTTAAACGTACAAACGAAACTAAACGTTTAGGTGTGCAATTACACTTTAAAATAAACTACGTGACAAATGTAACAAGAACACTGCTACATTGCCATACATGTAAACACGAATTAACAAAGACACAAACTACGACCAAATGATGGATGACTAGAGACGTGGGAATCAACAGCGCTCTGTACCGCTTGTAGTAAAATATTGTATTATACTGTTAGTTTAGCTAACCCGATTATAGATATTGCGTTTAATAACTGTGGCTAAAGGTTGGTATCACCTACTCCTACTCTACCGCGGTGAAACGCTGGCAACGCGGTGTCAGTTGGTACCACTACCAGCCATCAGCCATCTTCGGTCCGCCATTCGCTCGACTCTTACGACCTAGTCACATCACGCACGACGCCCTTTTCCCGAACACTTCATTTCTAACGTCGTTTTGTTGTTTTGTTAACTATTTGTCCTATTTTGTTCGTTAATCTTATTTTTAATCATATTGTTTTGTACATATTTCAATATACGAGGACTTGGAATAACGCAATGATCAGGACACTCCATTTGGACCTAGGTCTCAAGAGAACGTTTACTTGGACATTCAAGATGGCGGACGTCGCATGACCGATAATTGGTCCAGATTTTTTATACACCGCCCATTTTTAAGGAGTAAAGTACAAGCATTTTTTTACAAAATATTAACTTAACCCTTTGTGTGATAGTGGCCTCTATGAAAACCACTTTTATTCGTACGGCAGACGCGCAGAATTGTTGTAATGGTTCGGAAATTATCCATACTATGGCATATATAAAGGCCACTTGTAAAAATACCCTAAATGGGCAGAACTATTTTTTTCATTAAAACCTTCTTTTAGAATAGTATTACCATTCTACTCCCTATTTGTATCATTTTTGTTTAAGGGAACATCAATGTTTCTTTTTAAATTAAGTCCTGTAGATGGTGGCTGAAATAGATACCACCAAACTATAAAGGGCTATGAATTTTCCTTGACTTAGATTGATTATGTACTTATTTTGTACCTACATAGTTTTAGAAGTGTCGGTGTATCGTTAAATAAAATTCAATCGCAATCATTGAATGAAAATTACTCTACTTAGCATTAAATTCAAAGAAAACGAGTGTCTTACGTTAGATAAATCAACCACATTTTTGTGATCTATAGATTTAAACCGTTTGTGCTCATAAATCTTCTTTGCGCAAATAGTTATATCGATAAATAATATACTGTCAGTTAAATATTTTTTTTTCTTTTATATGTATTTTTTTTAAACTCATCTTTATGTTATTATTATATATTTTTTTTACAATGTTGTTAAAAAAGAAAAGACGAGTTCCTTTATTTTTTGTGAATAAAAGAAAATCTGTAGTTGTTATGAGGAAAGTGAGTGGATTCATTAGCTTGTAACTTCGTTTTTTTTTTTTAATACAAATACTTAAAATTTAATCCCTTTTATTAAAATTTTTCCCTTAACATATTATTTCCTATCCTTTTGTTGTTTCACACATTGGAAGTAACAATATCGATTTATTCTTTCCAATGGTAAATTTTTAAATGTAAATTCTACACATTTTAGTGATAGAACTATACAATTCAACTATTGGTAGATTATAATATGTATGTATGTATGTATATTATTAAGTGAACTGACAAATTCGTCTCCGTCTTTTTTTATTGTTTTTCCAATCTTTTTAAATCATCATTCAGAACGTCAATTTTTAAAATTCTAGGTGGAATTTTCCCCATTTTGCAATGTAGATGAGTGTTAGTTTCCCTTTCATAATAAATAAAATTTAATATCACTGTTAAAATATTAAAGTTTATTTTCTGAATTCCCTAAATCATATTTTTATTATTAGCATTTTCAATTTTTTTCTTCTTGTTCTAATTGTTTAAATGTCTCTTTTAATAACCCTAACCTATCAATAGTGGTTATTTAATTGTGACGCTATCCTAGTTAAATCGATATAATCTGATACAAATACATTTTTAAATTGGTCCATTTGTTCTTTTAACATTTCTTCATTAGTGTAAAAATGTTCAATTTGTTTTTCTGTTGCTATATTACAACGAAAATGATAAAAGTTTCCTAAAGATTGAAACCCTCTTTTGTTTCGTTTACCTGAATTTGATATTTTGTTGAAAACATCATCCATACCTCTCTTACTATCTCTAATATTACTATTGACGTTCTTTAATTAAGATAAGATTTGTTTGGTAACATAACAATAGCTACTATTTTTATTTTTACAGTAATTTTAAATTTTCCAAGAGTCCCAATTACCATTTATGTCATCCATAAGAATATTTTGGGTGTACACTAAGGGTATACTTTTGTCATAGATGATTGCCTCCTGAATTTCATTAAAGAAGGCACCAGGATAAACAGTTACCCTTAGCATGGATTTTCCAGCTTCAATTAGCGCAAGAATGATTAAATAAAAACTCCCAGCTCCCGTCTTAAACAGAATTAGAAAATTTACCAAAAAAAAATTTTTTATAACTTTATTTACATGTATTTTTTTTTTATTTACAACACATTTTTCTTTATACAATTATAACTATTTAAAAATTAAAAAAAATTTAATATTAATTACTAAAAAACAAGGAAATATGTGCATATGGCTAAGCTATATGTTTTTTTAAAAAATATTTTAATGGAATTTTCTTTATCGCCTCTAGTTTTTCGTCTATGATTGGATCTTCGATTTGGGCGCAAATCCTCTGCAAATTGGTCTCATTTTATAAAAAGTTTCGTTTCCATTTGAAATTGTTCATTAGTAGGACTTTTCAGCAGTGTGCACGAGTTCGTGTTTTGTGAAAGTGGATTTCAAGATTACGGCTAAATACACGACACTATACACGGCGGCCGATACCACAATAATAATATGTTTGTTCATGTTTGTCGAGTTGTGATTTTCCAGAAAATGACTTCAAACATACAGCACACGTATACGGATTTTCCCCAGAGTGTCCTCTTTTATGTACAGTGAAATGGAACTTTTGAGAAAACGATTTTAGGCAAATATCACATTTGTAGGGTTTTTCCCCAGTGTGCACTCTACAATGTTTGGTGAGATGTGATTTTTCAGAAAATGACTTTAAACATACAGCACATTTATAGGGTTTTTCACCAGTGTGCAATCGTTCGTGTATTGTAAGGTTGTTTCTATGTGAAAATGACTTAAGACATACAGCACATGTATAGGGTTTTTCGCCAGTGTGTACTCGTTCATGTATTGTGAGGTAGCTTTTACATGAAAATGGTTTTAGGCAAATAGCACATTTAAAGGGTTTTTCCCCAGTGTGCAAGCGCTCGTGAACTTTTAGGGCAGATTTTTTAGAAAATGGCTTAGAACACACCTCACAGTTGTAGGACTTCTCACCAGAGTGTGCCCTATAACAAAATACAAAACCTTAAATTAAAAAAAAAAAAGTTTAAAAAAGTAATATTCTTTTCACATTTGTATATTATTGCTAAATTTTTTATTTTGAGATTGGGAGATGTAAATTTGTTTGTTTTACAAAAAATCCAACTGAATATAATTTTGGATCATCTATAAAGATTGATAAATATACAATTACGAAACTGTATATTCAAGCAAATTCAATAATTTCTATAAAAATTTGAATATCTCTCAGATGTAACAGAGTTCAGAAGTTCAAGTACCTAGGTACACTTATAACTCAGAACAATGAAATACAAGAGGAGATAAACGCAAGAATACAGGCAGGCAATAGATGCTATTTTGGATTGGACAAGCTGTTCAAGTCAAAAGATTGTTGTCTAAGAGTCTAAAGGTACAACTGTATAGAACTTTTGTAGGAATACAGGAGAATGGAGAATTAGACATAATGTGAAGATCAGGGAGCCATATCAGAAACCAAACATAGTCGACGATATAACAAAGAGGCGCCTCTTTTGAGCTGGCCACGCATGGCGAAAAAAAAGCGCCCTTATACACAGGGTACTATGTGGCTCTCCAGAAGGCGTAAGACCACTTGGTAGACCCAGGTTGAGGTGGGAAGACCAGGTGTCAAAAGATGTGGAGCGGGTTGAACCGGATGCTGATTGGCAAGTCCTAGCGCAGGATAGAGAGAGATGCCATGGCATGTGTTTGTCAGTTTGGTCTTAAAGGCCGTAAACTACGAAGAAGAAGAAGAAGAAAAAAATTGAATATCTCTCAGGGTTTTACTCGCAACTCTCTACTTTTTTTATTAAATTTAATATACCAGTGATAATTTATTATGTTATATGTATTGCCTTACAAAATATTTTTATTGAAGACCTGTTTTGTAGATCTTTCCTGGGTCGATGAATATGCACTATGTGATCGAGGTATGCGTTGGGCGGTCGTTTTCAAATCCAAAAGCCCATTTTCTTCAACTTCAATCAAGGATTCGTAATAATGTCCATCTACCATATCAACTTCGACTTTAACCACCGTTGTATTGCACAGTTCTCTGTTACTAAAAACATTTAATTAAAATATCGAAATTGAAATAGATAATACCAGCAGCGAGTAATGCATGTTAATGAATGATGTACTACACGCTATCAGTGAAAGGGTTCTTCGTTTGTGGCGACTGTGCGATATTTTATTATCACAATATTAAATTTAATATTACAATATTTATTTTAAAAAGAATTACTTATAAATATTCCCGTCAAATGATTTTAGAAGTTCGTTCTGTGGTGTGACGCAACTATTATAGGGTTTTTCAATGTTGGTCGATTTTGTTTCTTTTGTAAATGTTTCAGTTATTTCATTGTTCCCCTCGTCGACTTTATCAGTTTTGAACACTGTCTCGTAGTTATCATCCGTTTCCACTTCAATTTTGATTATTGATTCAGAATACCTGAAAAATTAGAAAATAATTTAAAAAATTACAATAACTAAAAAAAAGACATAATAAAACAGTAAGTTTATAGTTGATGTTGTTTTTAAAATTACTTTTTAGTGAAGGTTGTTAGCGATAAATTAAAATATTTATAATATTTTCAACATTGTATTAGATAAGCAACTCGAGGAGATACGCTTGTAATACTCATAAAACCTGTATGGTTAGTTATCGTACTAGGCTCAAAAAACGAACAAGTTTAAATAAGCTAAAAACGAGTAATAGTTTAAAAGGAAAAGCCACATCCAAAATATCAGTTTAGCAAAACAGCTTAACAACTTTAGATGTTTGTTTAGTATTAAAAAAAATGCATAAAGTTCAAACTGATGTTTTGGCAAAGTTAATTAAATCTCTAATGTTCTGTAGTAACATAAAGCATATGTTTAACTTTTAACTATATTTATTAAACTATCATTTTGTAATAACATATTATATATTCAAATTTATACTATATGTGACATTTTTATATAACTATCATGTTATTATTATTCAATATACAACGCGCGTAGTGTGATATAGAACCTCTTTGAATAATTTCAATAAACTTAAAATACTCTAATAGATAGCGTACATATTCATTTTGGGCGTAACATTTACATAACAATAGGTTCATTAAAGAAGGAGTTAAACACACGACTCGACACGAACTTATCCGAGACGAACTTAACCAACACAGAAACGCACTATTTAACCCAGCCCACAGCGCAGCGAAGCGCAGTTGCTCTCTCACATCTCTCATACAACCTTCCTCTCCTTATTGTGTGGACGCCAAAGTCGGGTAGCTGTTATCAGTCCGCCGCGGCCACCAATATCCTTTCTTTCCTTATTGTGTGGACGCCAAAGTCGGGTAGCTGTTATCAGTCCGCCGCGGCCACCAATGTCCTTCCTTTCCTTATTGTGTGGACGCCAAAGTCGGGTAGCTGTTATCAGTCCGCCGCGGCCACCAATATCTTTCCTTTCCTTATTGTGTGGACGCCAAAGTCGGGTAGCTGTTATCAGTCCGCCGCGGCCACCAATAACATAATCCTTCCTTATTTTCCTTACACATACATACGCCGATTCCGTAGCGATATAAATATAAAAATACTATATTCATTACAATTCAATTACTTAAAACCGTACGAGTTTCTTATCACACACGTGTCATTATTAAGCAATAAAAACACTGTTGTTCTTTCGTTCATACATATACCTATACCTATACCTCTTAAAAGTGTCGTTAAAGGTCATTAATTCTAGCGGTCGAACAATCCTATTACACCCATGTGACTATTTTTGGTCAGCAAGGAATGTAGTCGGCTTATAATAACTCAGTAGACGTTGTTATTTCTGACAAGCGCATTGATTATTATAAAACCATTGGTAGACCGTGTACTGAATTACACTTTAACGAGAGATAGATGGTCGTAAGATAACGTTAAAACACCAGTGTCTGAAATATATTTTATGAATTAAAACATTCGTGTTAAAACAACGTTCATTTCGACATATCAAGATCACATACTCAAGGAATATCGACAAGGTCATAGAGCTTCGAGTGACTCCACGACAAGGTATGTACTGTATACAATATTATAACACTGTGTAATAGTAAGTCTAGAGGCAGGAAGTGAGCCCTTGTAGTAAACATACACACATGCACACCCCGATTAAGAGCCGTTTTCATACTTATTTAAAATATCCATTCACCGCCGCTTCCCCTTGCTTTTCTTCTATTACAAAATGGCGCCCAACGTAAAAAGCTTTTATTCCGCAAATTACAAAAATTTTTGGCTTCGCCCGAAAAAAACCGCTGCCCAATTTTTTCACAACTACAAAAACTTGGTAAAATTACAAGAAATATAAATATAAAACATTGAGTAAATTATACATTAAATAAACATACGAACTATTAAAAATACTGACATTAAAGTTAAAAAAAATAATAATAAAATTTTGTCATACAATTCTGTTAACTGATATAACTAGAAGTTTTATTTTTCATTCTACAATTCAAAAACCATTTTTGAAAATATTACAACTATTAGAGTATACATACTACACTAATATATAACTAACATCCGATAAAACGTTTTAAATGGAATCTAAACATACATATAGTACTTATGAACGAAACAACTTAAGTCAATTAGAAGGCACCCTTGAATACTGTTATGACAGAATTACAGAGACGCCAACCAGGTCATTAAATGATCTAACCGAGATTAACACGGCAATACACGGATAATTGAGCCCCGACCGATTTTTCTGTAGAACACTTAACAGGGGTGACAAAACTTCTCTTTGTAAACCAGACATAAAACTCTTAAAAATATCGTTAAATTTTCATTACAACTCTCAAAAATGCCTAATTCGCTAACAAACTTAAATATTTAATAAATATATAAACCTAAAAAATGTTTTTTTGTAACATATCCAAATTTTCACAAACATAAATACTTAATAATTTCAGCTTTGTCAATACATTGAGGAAATGTAACTCTTTTAATACACAAATACTTAACTTCGATTTTATTTTTTACATATCTTGGTGAATATCGTACTATAGATCTATATACTATCTTATTATAGATGTAGATAACTTTAGCATTATAACCACTGCATCATACCAACATAAATTTTGAATACAAAAATAATATTGTTCTAACATAGTTCATTTTTATAATAATAACAATAATATACATAACACCTATAAAATAAAGGCCACTCATATAATAATACATGCTAAAAATATATATATATATAAAGGGCAATACACATAGGCCTAACATATAATAATAAAAATAATATTAATGCTAATAAATAGAGCATTAATAAATAAATAACGCTTTTATATAAGCCAAATATATAATATTGAAACCGATAAAATTATATAAATATAGCAATGAACTTAACAAGAATAGGTTTTCATTAAACAACATAATAATAATATTCGCCAAGCAAATCGTAAAACATTATGAATCTTTATAACAAATATTATAAAAACAATAATATAACAAAATCAAATTTAGTATAAAAGTATCACCCTTTTATAGTTTTAATAATGTAGTAAACAAACCATTACAATTATTTCACAAAAAATAATGCGTAAAATAACAAATAGTATAATTTCCTAACATTCACAATATTTCCACATATCCCATAAACAATTATCGAAATTTTGCAAACAATCCTTATACACAATATTACTGTATTACACGAAATCAACTACAATTCACACCTAATTTTTTTTTTTTAAATATCACTTTAATACGCTCAAGCGAGGCTTCAGGCCGAAATAAAAGATCATACTAGTATACTTAATGAACCATAAATATAAAACTGAAATTTATCATAAAATACCAAATCAAAAACTATCATTACTTTAATACCAGTATTAAAACACTTTTATAATTACAAACCGAGATACCTAAAGGCAAATGCAAACGGGAAATGTCCTTATAACCTAATAATGCTAATAAAATTGCGACCCATAAGATTTTCTTAATTTAAGGTTTCAAACATAGAAAAATAACATCACACACAATATTATTACCGACAAAATGTCGGGATATAGCATCAATACTAATTACAACATTAAATATACTACCAATAATTAATAAAAGCATTATATCGCAAAGTTAATTTACATAAGAATAATATTAATAATCCTTGTATAATAAGTGATATTAATAATGATAATATTAAAAAATATATACATAAAATATGCTAATAAATATTACATAAATAATACAGACCAAATACCAAATATATAATAAAAAAAAAAAAAAATTTTTTTTTTAAAAAAACACAGGCTATTTTCATAAAGAATGTTAATATAGGCTACATACATAATAAGAAAGCCAAATAAGCAATAAAAAATATTGAATAATGATACAAGAAATGCTATTGATCATTTATTTACAATACAAATATAAACATACATAAACGAGATATCAATAATATAGATATCATATATATAAAGTCTAAACATATAAACAAGATGCTGATAAATACTCTATAACACAAATAACAAAAATACACACAGGCCAAAAAAAATACATAAATGATGCCAAGTAGGACCAATTGCATAACGCTAAGATCAGACAAAACATACATACTGGGAAAAATACATAAAAAAATTCTAATTTGGTATAAAAGTATGATATTTTTCATACAACTCATACATTACACATATAATTAATATATTCACAATAGATTATAAAACTACTTTTAATGTTATGCATTGAGTCAAATGCGTTACAGCAAAATTAAAACACAATTTTGATACACAAATCATCTAAAAGGGAGATAGATAACACAAATTAACAAGAATATAAATACTTTATTAAGATAAATTACCACTTATATTAAACAAAACTAAATCATTTCAATAAAATTGCCCATCACAATAAAATTCACTTAAGCCAAGAATAAATTACACTATACAATTTTCTTATAATTATCATATAACTTTAATGGACACAAAATACAAACTTGATCAACTTTTCTTAAATCTAGAATAATGTAATAAAAACATATATACAACAAAAATTCTTTTATACATATTATCATTAAGCATACACGAGTATATCTACTCAATGAAATCATCCTTAGTTATATTAGATCTAATCTAAGTAATAAAAAAAAAAAAAAAACAAATTTAAAGTTTTCTAAAATATTTCAAAACCTTTTTTACAAAAAACTATATTTTCAAGAAACAAAAAATACATTAGTTAAATTAACACATACATTTCTATTTCAATCACACAATGTGATGACATTTATTCCATAGTTAATATTTCTACACCACTATGACCACTTTGTTCATAATTTTATATAACAAATGCATCAATAAATATGCAATAATCAACGCTTTTATACTTTATATACATCACATATACAATAATATATACTAATCTAGAATAAGGCTTATTACTAAACATAATATAATTCACTAACACAATTTTAAAACAAAAATATATATAAATTATATAAAAAAAAAACAAAAAAGATTACATAATTAATACTATCATAAATCATGTATTTAGCATTTAAATATTAGATCTTAATAAATATCAATTAACTCAAAATATTCTCTAAATTATATATTATAATCATTGATTTATGTAAAAAAAAAAAACATAAAATATAAAAGTATAAAAAAAAAAAAAAACCTTTTTATTATATACAATCTCATATATTCCCAATTATTAAATAACATTATTATCAAATGTAATCATGTCATAATTGTTATTATGTGTCTAAAACACTTGTATTTCAATATAACCTAGCACTTAAGTCATTATCACATTATATACAACTTAAACATATATATAATGAATCATTACATATATAAAATCGATACATGCCTCATTTTCATCAAAACCATTTATTGTATAAAAAAAACACAACAATAATTTGTAAACAAACATACACACCTATGCTCACATATAATCGATCCTTCTTTATCTACAATCTATCAATGTGTACAACAACAGGATCCATTCCATCACATACGGTCATCGGCAACCAATCATCGGACCACCCACATCTATACGGAAACGAATCACGAAGGACACGCAAACCAAACCGGATTGTCAAACCCTCAATACAGCCTGGTAATAGAAGGGATGACCATACTATTGTCACCCCAACAATACAATCCTGAAATCCTATTACAAACAGTAATTCGTTCGACCTTCGCAACGGTTCACGTGTTTAACTTCAGTAGTTCAACCAATCTTACTGTCATGTCGACATTTTCTAAAAGAAATGCTTGGTATTCAAACTTCATTATTGACGACTACATGAGACTTCTCGTGAATTATTCCAAGTCAAACGTTTATGCATTTAATACGGATTTCATTAATCAACTCCTCACACATGGCTTTGAAAACGTCAAGAAAAATTTAATCGAACACAACATATTTTCTAAACAATATTTGTTTTTACCAACAATTGTGAGCGGTTGCCATTGGATTCTAAGCACAGTACACATCCCATCACATACTATAACACAGTATGATAGCTTACACACATATTTTCCGCAAGTAACCAATACCATTGCAACCATGTTGAAACAATACACAGATCTTATGAACATTGATCCAATTAATTGGACAATCGTTCAAGGTGATTCTCCCTATCAAGAAAACGGGTATGACTGCGGAGCTTTTGTTCTCGAAATGACCAAACATATCACTATGGAAACATCATTCAATTTCAATCAGAAACATATGTCTCTTATTCGTATTCGACATGAGAAGGAATTACGACTTCAAACAATACTACCAATACTTTTACGACATGGCATGGATGGTAGCAATAATCAATCATCTCAAACTTCTAAAAACACAACATTATCACCCAACTCAGTATCAGGTGAGTCCACTGAGTTAATAAACTATAAAGCCATAAAGAACAAGCGTAGACTCAAACGTATGGGTTATAAAAGACCACGAAATCACAAGAAAAAGAACAAAGCAAAAACACATGATCACACATTATCACAATAATACACACACCTAAATTTTTTAGACAAAAAAAATATAATATATTCATAATAAAATTAAAAAAAAAGGGGAAACAACATGTATCACATTTCATTATATTCTCATAGTTTAAGATAACTAACCATTATTATTATCATAATTACTATTATTATTTTATCCATTATTACACACCTTATCATGTTACGAGGGCGTAACATAAAAAAATTAGCCCGCACTTTGTAGTAACATAAAGCATATGTTTAACTTTTAACTATATTTATTAAACTATCATTTTGTAATAACATATTATATATTCAAATTTATACTATATGTGACATTTTTATATAACTATCATGTTATTATTATTCAATATACAACGCGCGTAGTGTGATATAGAACCTCTTTGAATAATTTCAATAAACTTAAAATACTCTAATAGATAGCGTACATATTCATTTTGGGCGTAACATTTACATAACAATAGGTTCATTAAAGAAGGAGTTAAACACACGACTCGACACGAACTTATCCGAGACGAACTTAACCAACACAGAAACGCACTATTTAACCCAGCCCACAGCGCAGCGAAGCGCAGTTGCTCTCTCACATCTCTCATACAACCTTCCTCTCCTTATTGTGTGGACGCCAAAGTCGGGTAGCTGTTATCAGTCCGCCGCGGCCACCAATATCCTTTCTTTCCTTATTGTGTGGACGCCAAAGTCGGGTAGCTGTTATCAGTCCGCCGCGGCCACCAATGTCCTTCCTTTCCTTATTGTGTGGACGCCAAAGTCGGGTAGCTGTTATCAGTCCGCCGCGGCCACCAATATCTTTCCTTTCCTTATTGTGTGGACGCCAAAGTCGGGTAGCTGTTATCAGTCCGCCGCGGCCACCAATAACATAATCCTTCCTTATTTTCCTTACACATACATACGCCGATTCCGTAGCGATATAAATATAAAAATACTATATTCATTACAATTCAATTACTTAAAACCGTACGAGTTTCTTATCACACACGTGTCATTATTAAGCAATAAAAACACTGTTGTTCTTTCGTTCATACATATACCTATACCTATACCTCTTAAAAGTGTCGTTAAAGGTCATTAATTCTAGCGGTCGAACAATCCTATTACACCCATGTGACTATTTTTGGTCAGCAAGGAATGTAGTCGGCTTATAATAACTCAGTAGACGTTGTTATTTCTGACAAGCGCATTGATTATTATAAAACCATTGGTAGACCGTGTACTGAATTACACTTTAACGAGAGATAGATGGTCGTAAGATAACGTTAAAACACCAGTGTCTGAAATATATTTTATGAATTAAAACATTCGTGTTAAAACAACGTTCATTTCGACATATCAAGATCACATACTCAAGGAATATCGACAAGGTCATAGAGCTTCGAGTGACTCCACGACAAGGTATGTACTGTATACAATATTATAACACTGTGTAATAGTAAGTCTAGAGGCAGGAAGTGAGCCCTTGTAGTAAACATACACACATGCACACCCCGATTAAGAGCCGTTTTCATACTTATTTAAAATATCCATTCACCGCCGCTTCCCCTTGCTTTTCTTCTATTACAGTTCATATTACATTAGATATGTTTTATAAAATGTGTTACTCGTATTCATTCACGTCGATTGTATTTTGTTGCTCTTGCCTTTGTTTATTTTCTTCTTCTAATTCAAAAATAGACTTATAATGATAATCGTCCGTTTCTCCAACTTCAATTTTAATACCTCCTGCTTCATTAAGTCTAAAAAATAGAGTACATTTTTTTAATTAGTATCGATTCTTCTATGTTTAACTTTAATATAATAAATAACTATAGACATAGACTGTAGAAGTTTGGGAAATTATATAGGTGTATAAAACAATAATTATCACTAAATGTAAATTTAACCGCTCATGTTATGGAAAAGTATACAATTATTTGAATATGAACCAGACTATCTTAAGATAAATTGTTTTTATATAATTAGTCTATACCTAACCTAACCGGCATAGAATGTCTGCTCTCATTTGAATTAGGTTATTTATTATAAGACATAATAAAACAGTTAGTTTATAGTCGATGTTGATGTCGTTTGTTATAGCCATAAATGTACTTTTAGTGAAAGTGGTTTAGAATGTATTAAAATATTTATGATGTGTTCAACAATATAATTTAATTAGATAAGCAACGCAAGCAGATACGCTTGTAATATTCATAAAACCTGTACGGTCAGTTATCGCACTAGTCTCTCCGGGCAGTGATGAATTTGTATTGTTGCTCGCCACAGTTTTTTCTATTCTTTTTAAATATTTAAAGCCCATGTTGAAGTATTTAACACAAATAAGACTATATCTAACAGTTTAAAATATAGACTAAATTGCATAGCTTTGTTCTCATAAGAAGTTTAATTTTTGGAAAACGCGCGTATATTATCACAAGTTAACGTGTAACCATATTTGTCATCCTGAAATGTTGATGTTTTCATCAAAAAGACGTTTTATTTACAGTAACATTATTGAAAGTTACATTTACTTATTAAATCAAAAATATCCTGGGGGTCTAGTACTGACGATTCGGTAAATTACCGAATTTCTAATTACCGAAATCCTTTTTACCGAACTCGGTAATCGTTTCCGAAATTTCAGTAGTACTGACGTTAATTCTTACCGGCTCGGTAACAATACTGAATAACCGATTATTTCCTCAAAAAACCCACATTTTACCGAAAAGTCCCATATTACAAAGACCCGGTCATTATAAAATATATATCTAGCTATTAACGGTTGTACAAGGTGCCTTTGTAAGAATCGATTGGCTATATATTTAAAAAGAAAAACAATTGGAGCGAGTGTTATTTATTCCTGATTATCGGTGACAATTATATCGATGGGAGACCAATATTATTATCACTGTTGTAAAAACCGACCAAATATTGATTTTAAATTCAAATTCTTACTAAGTCATAGCAAACAAACAGATAGATAAAAATTATAAATTAAATCGCTTAGCAAATTTCAATGATAGGGTTTTTTAGTCTAGATGGGAAACGTAAGATACTCATACTCTGATGTTTTATTTTAGTGGCGACTTGGCGCCGACCACCTGACGTTAAGACCTATTGAAAAAAGTTGGGAGAGGGGATTGTTATTGTCATTTATTATATTCAGGGACACCAAACATAGACTAATATTACACAGCTAAGTATAAACAAATACAAAATATTTAACATACCCCAAAAAAAGTAAAAATTACTGCTCTATCGATGTCATGTATATAGTATATATATATATATATATATAGCATAAAGTATATATTATATATTTATATATATACATAGTAGGCTATGTGACAATAACAGCTGGAATTATTTTCTTCCTATACACGGCAGCCTCTCCCACTCGCACGAATGCAGAGACGATGAAAGATATGAAGATATGGCGTTAGTTTACAAATAAGATCTTTGGCTAAGAGTTTAGTAAGCCTAAAAGTTCTTACAAACTCTTGGTCCGTCATTTCTTCAAAACTATTGGACCGTACCAAAACCATATGTATATGCCTTGGTGGAGGTCGGCGTTGAATTATTCCAACTAATAAAAGATTTGCCATGTTTATAACGCCCAATCGTTATTACTTAACTCAAAACACAATTTACAAACAGAAAAAATGTTATTGAACAATACTGATAAAACTTTGATAACAATTTCCCGACACCTTTCCCGCTTCCCGACACCTAATTGCCTGTCGGTTAAATAACTTATACTTTACCGAATTCGGTAAGAGGAACCGAACTATTTTTTCGGTAATTTTTGTCAGTACTAGCAAAATTCGGTAATTTCTTTTTACCGAACCGAATTTCGTTGCCGAATCGTCAGTACTAGACCCCCAGGTATGATTTCTGATCTATAGAGTTGCTACACGAAGAAATCGGTTCAGCGGTTTACAAGATATCGTGGGTCCAGACACAAAAAAAAAAAAATTAAAACACATCATTGTAATAACAACACCTTCTCAGTTCCGCACCGAAGCTAAAAAATATATTTATTCGGTCTGGCCTTACTGATAAAATAATATTTTGTAAGTAAGACCAACAAAGTAAGGTTATTAAATAGGTTTATTTGATTGACAGTTGTTTGACGAGTGTACAAAAAAAAAAAACTATATGAATACAAACCAGACTGTCCTCGGCTTTTGTTTAAAAATTTAACCAGACAATTACACCAATAGTTTGCAATAGAATGTCTGTCCTAATTTTAATTAAGTTATTGTTATATTGCAACAAAATGTATTTAAATTTAAAATCACATAACTTATATGCATACCCGTCAATTGTTTTTTGATAAACGTTATGGTTTGTCGGAGAACTGTTGCATGTATCTTCAATGTGATTCAGCTCAGGTATTTTCACTAAGACTTCGTTGAAATACTGTTTTACGTCTTCGTCTATTTTGATCATGGTCCCGTTGTAATCATTCATTTTAGTAGTGATTTTTGGTATTTCTGATTCTCACTAGTTTAACTCTAAAAAACAAAGCGTATTTTAAAAATTAGGACAAGAAGTAACAATTTTTTTTATTAAAAATGATTATAGCCTGTGTCTAAACAAATTTAAATAAAACATTAGTGCAGGCACACTTTTTTGCAAAATAAAGGCAAACAAGAGCCTAAGATTTTTAAAAAAAATCAAAACATTGATTCAATGATTGAAATTTAGTCGGTTGTGTAAGATCTTACTAATGAAAAATAGTCCACTCTAAAAAAATTTAATGCTACACAATATGAATTTTCTTTCTCCATAAACTATAAGTTAGTTACCACTTTCTCTAAATACATTAAATAAATATTTTTTCTTTTATAGCAGATTATAATAATTAGAAAAAAATATAATTACTAACATACAAAATAATGACTATCAACTTAATAATAGTAACAAATTGAAAATAATGATAAAATAGATATTAACAACTTTAACCAAAACCATTGTTTCTATTTCAGATAGCAAACATATTGCGATATACGCCTGTATATCTTGGTGGAAGTTAGTATTTTAGTAGAAAATAAAACACAACAATAATATGTTTAACACAATACTATTAAATATAAAAAACACACACAGTATAGAGAATAATATATATATATACAACGTACGTTTCAATTATAACAGCAGCCGTAATAGAATGGTAAATCCAACACCTTAATACTATGTCTTATATACGATATAATCTAGGTTACAGATGTAATTGGTCCTTGTATAAAACAACTTAAATATTACTCATGATTTCTTCAGTGTACACATATAATACCGTATAAGGTTATATAATATTTATTACTTATATTCCATGACCCAAATAAACAATATTAATTATATTCAATAAAACAGATAAACATATTTTAGTTTTGTTCACCGATACGTTTATGGGCGCTAGTAGTATCGTTTTCATTAAAAATAATACTAATAGCCCATCCCGTATTGTAGTTCAGAACTAAATTTTGTCTCTGTTGTCTATCATTTAGTACATTTATAGAATGGTGTTATAACGGTTTGAAATTAAAACTCATTCAAGTCATGTAAACATTTTAAAACATTTTTTAAACATTAAAACGTTTTCAAAATTAAAACACACACTAGTATATTAAGAAATTAAAATGGTTTTAAACGTGAAGTATGATTTAATTATAAAATAAATGTAAAAACGCAGCTGTTATATTTTTTTTTGCCATAACAAAATGTTGATTGCTTTGTAACAATATATTAATATGAGAAATTTACCTGATTTAATTGGTAAAGTAAAAACATTACAGATATTAATAAAGAGGAATTTTAAAACAATTTGCACAGTACACATATTAATAGAATTTTATTTACACTACAATAGAACTCAATATATTATATTATTCTATATTATAGAGCTCAAAATTAACCAAAAAACCACAGTCGAAGCCTATCCGTAACTTCTTATCAATTATCGTTTTTATGACCACTGACGGCACAACTCACTCCACAAGTCAAATTACTCGACCAACGAAAATATGAAAAACATTGAAATTGTTTAAAATTCATTACCCACTCCATAAACTAAATAATCTAATTGTTAAAAATCAATAAATAAAACCATAATGTTACTCGGTACTTACTATTACACAGCAATGCGATGAGATTGTTCGTCAAGGCTCTGATCCGTAACAACGTCAAACGACAGGTATAAAACCACGCACTGAATCTTTTTTTTATTATAATATGTCCACATACAACTATTTTAGACCGTTTCAAACAAAAAAATTCACTTTGAGTAAGTCAGAGACAGTAAATACATTATTATGTTACAGACGCTACCGCACACTTGATAATGATGTGTGTATGTGATAACAGTGGCAACCGCGCTGGAGGTAGAATACAGTGAAGATAAATATTAAAAAGCGCGGGCTTATCAACATATTCAATTATATTATCAACACTACAGCGAAAATATGATCGATTATTAAAAACTTGTACGGTTTTTTTTTGTTTTTTCAAATTTCGATCGTGAAGAAGTAAACATTTTTTTAACTTTTACCCCCCCCCCCCTTCTAAAGTACAAACTAGAGGAAATTCGTGATTTATAGAATTGTTGCTACTTGAAGGAATTGGTTCATAAAAAAAGTTACAGTGTATACAGTTTAAAAAAAAGCCCACATCAGAGTAAAACCAATCTGCATCGAAGCTAAAATGTTTTACTTTTTAGCGGTTTTCGTATTTCACAAAAAAGGGTTATGACACAAATAGCTATTGTGATGTGAAAATAATATATTGACAATCTTGATTGGACGTGTATTGGGAACATCATGCTTACTTATTAGGTATATTGAAGAAAATGCTCTTAAGCCAGAATTCATGGTAGCCAAAAACTGTTGTAAAAATTATAAGTTTGATTCCAGTGAATAGGTTTTGACCCATCTAATGGGGGTTGAAGTGACCTGTTTGTTGGACATTTTACGCCTAAAAGCCTGACATAATTACACCAACTTAGGATGGTCAGATTTAAATTCCGAAAGAATATTTGAATTAATTAAAATAACTTTTCTAGGTCACTGTTGAAATCGACTAATGATATTTCATTTAATATTGTGTTTAAATCCTATTTTATTTGCTCAAATTGGTCGTTGTGATGTAAATGAAACAGTTATTCAACAATCGACTTGCATAACATAACATGCATTCAATACCTTCAAGGTGGTAGTCGTTGAGCAATTGATATTTCCTAATTTGTTCCTGAAAATTCCTAATTTAGCATGTATATCACAATTTTTTTAAAATCCACATTATTACCAAAACATTTATATTTATTTATAAATATTCCTTAAGAGATGGAATATATTCTGTAAGTATTAAAGTATCATTTTTTTCTATACATTTATAAAACTCAATTCGGAATAATGACAATTGCCCTAGAAATTGAACTATACTTAAGTAAAAAATGCATGGACCCAAAATATAATAATATCAAAACCGTTTTAACGTTGGAAACTTCAAATAATATAACTAGGTCGATGATAAAAGATGTTGTTTTTGAAAATTGTCTTATTTAGGACATAGGTGTATGACTGTAACTGTTTGAACAAGCATACAAAACAACAAATTGAAATCAAATCAACTCTGCAATGACCGAAGTGTGATACAATCCACATTAGCCACAACCGACAAAGTATATACAAACAAGCAATCGCACGTCGGTTCTCAAACATGAAGCCACTATTATCTAACACCCACAATGTTTAGTAACAAATATTCAAATTACACATCTGCTGTGGCGTCAATCCTATTACATGATGACAATATTGTCTAAAAACCCACAATAATAATTTTTTAAATTTCACACAATACACGATTACCCACAACACATTCACATAAAGCTTGGACAGACAAACTAAAACACTCAATTAGTATACTTAGCTAAATGACAGTTGTCATGTTTAATTATTTACATTGTAATGACCACTGTCGGCACAACTCACTCCACTAGTCAAATTACTCGACAAACGAATGTATGAAAAACATTGAAATTGTTTAAAATTCATTACCCACACGATACACTAGGTAATCTAATTAATTGTTAAAAATCAATAAATAAAACCATAATGTTACTCGGTACTTACTATTACACAGCAATGCGATGAGATTGTTCGTCAAGGCTCTGATCTCTAACAACGTCAAACGACAGGTATAAAACCACGCACTGAATCTTTTTTTTTATTATAATATTATGTTCATAAACATACAACTATTTTAGACCGTTTCAAACAAATCATTCACTTTGAGTAAGTCAGAGACAGTAAATACATTATTATGTTACAGACGCTAACAGTGATAACAGTGGCAACCGCGATGGCCGGCTGGAGGTAGAATACAGTGAAGATAAATATTAAAAAGCGCGGGCTTATCAACATATTCAATTATATTAACACTTAATTTTTTTGATGTGTGAAAATCTACACGCGCTGTACGATATTTTGGGTAGGAGTAAATTGGCTTTTTCATAGCCCGAATGCGTCCACAGTTATAAATCGATAAAGGTTAGAATAATACAACAATTAGAATGACTGCGGCAACGACAGAGGAAATCGCATTCAACTTCAAGCTAGGCCTTCGATATTAACTAAACAGACAATAGGAAAACTGAAATTGACGACTTGTAAACAAAATGATTTTATTGATGAAAACATCAAACAATTTAAAGCTGGGCAAATGACCACACAGTATTTTGTAACAATAATGGCATATAAACATCAGCCACAACATAAGCATCAGGGAAGTAATTAAAATATAACAAACGCACATTATTGAAAATAAGTTAAAAACAAACACCTAAAAAAACTTGGGTATAAGCATTTTTTTTCTTGGGACGCTTTCGGGCTACGTCAGAAAAATTACCTTTTTTTTAGGACGCTCTCGGATGATACCTTTCGCCGGACGCACTCGGAACGTTAAATAAGGGTCATTTGACCAGTTAACATTTCGGATATATGTCCAATGGTAACTAGGGGTGTATGTTAAGTTATATTATACAAGTAAGGTTAAATAAAATAAACAAGTAGAATAGAATGGAAAATTAGAATTATATAATATAGGTTCTTAGTATAATATAATATACATCATATAATACATTATATGGATCGTAACTCAAATTGAATGAGGTAATTGTTTAATAACATAATATAATAGAAATTTTGATACAGTGAATACCTATATAAATAAATTACAAAATTAGAAGAAAAAAAACATTTAAGCAAAACCAAAAAAAAAAAATGTTTTTGTTGAATATAATTGACATATTGTACTTAAGTAATAAAATTGTATCCAATAAACCTAAATTAAAAGCATGGACAAGTGCGTAACGCAGTACTGTAAGATGCTCATTGGCCGGAATTGAACCTAACCGGAGTTAAACTCTGTTAATTCTGAAAATGTATTTGGTTTTTTTTTCTCTTTTCTTTTATGTTATTTCTTTGTGTTATTAAAATTAAATAATTTACAACTATGTACATGTAATTGATATTTAAATAAAATTTTAAAAAAAAATCAGAATAGACAAACATATTTATATATTTATGTCGTAACGTAAAATAGATAAATTGGTGTTTCCGATTAACCCGAAAAAAAAACTTTTGTTACATTTAAACTATGACTTACACACACGGGGAACAACAAAAAAAATATAAAAAGCTCCATAAGGCCTATCAGCTATGTGTATACTAAATGGTCAAACAATACTCAAGACCGTTGTATACAGTTCCCCAAACAACATATTATACAATCAATAATAGATTTTATCCACTTTGTACTTCTGCCATACACAGAAGAGGGGTCAGGTATTTTGAAGAATAACTATTACATGCTGCCTTGGTTAATCAGTGGAGATTTTAACGCCAACTTCAATACAGAAGGAGAAAGTCTTATTCAATTTCTGAAATATACTTTTAATCTCCAGATAAACTCATATAGACAAGTGAGTACTACACAATTAGGCACAGTATAGATGCAGTATTCAAGCAAAATTAGACAACATACAGTCTCGTGTTTATGTATCTTATTATAGTTATTACTTATCATAAACCAATAATGTCAACAACATAAAATAGCAATCGTTTCTCAATAAAGTTCTTGCACATAATATGTTCAGCTCTTTTTTTAAATTTTATTTTACGCAGAACCCGAAATAAGATGTTTACACACAACTGTTATGAGTACTTTTCGCGGCTCACTCGGTTATTTTTTAACTAATTATTTAACTGTGTTAAGCGCGTTGTTTATTTTTATGAAAAATGGAAAACATTGGACCTACCAGTAGAGATTCAACAAAAGAAATGTACCCATGGTGAAAATGTTTACAAAAAATAATTATGAATTAAATTAGAAAATATCATAGAGTAGGATTTATCTATTAGTACTATTTTTACTTTAATGTGTGTCGATAATTGTCTAAGTACGTCATTTTATTCATGTTATATTTTCTATTCTGTTGTTTTCCATCACCTTACAGTTGCGTATATACAGCCGATCTCATTATTGTTCGGTCAATTCAAACAGTTGATCATATCCAATTGTTAATAAGTAATGCCATGAGAAACTATCATACAGTACATTCCGTTACAATAATAGGTATATCGTTCACACTAAATAGATCTCACAAATAATGACAAAAACCGTCTAACCCTTTACGTAACTTCTTATCAACTATCGTCCCTACGACCACCGATAGCAATTCTGACTAGACTTTTTGAAGAATGTAAGAAAACTGGATACTTAATAATTTTCACAAATAAATAAACGGAACAAAGTGTTGCTTGGTACTTACACTGTTATGTTTTTCAATGCTCTATTCCCTGAAACGTCAAACTGTCAGTATAAAACGCAGCAAGCACTGAATCTAATTTGTTATATGTTCATAAATTTAATTACATACATTTCATATAAATCAGCCACATAGAGCAAATTAAAACATGAAAAATATATTGTTACAGACACTACTACCGACTTGACAATGATGTGTGTGTGTGTAACACAAGTGATAATAGTGGCGGCCGGAGGTAGAATGCAGTGGGATAGCACCATTTTTCCCAAACTGCATGCGTTACTACCAAGGATCATTTCATCCATTGTACACTTTTTTCCAATGACAATTTTCTAAACATGTCTTTTGAACTTAACTTCAAACCTGTAACCTCCTCGCCATCATCTTTAATCAATCAAACCTAAAAAAATCATTAGTTTAATCTAGTGTCTATTCAAAGCTTTTTTTTATTAAACAAAATGGTGACCTCTAATCATTTACTCGCGGATTTTCAAGGAAAAATGCACTGGTTTATTGTTTATAAAAAATGTAATTTTTAATAAAAAAAAAAACCTCCGATCAGGCACTAGTTTTTTATGCTTTTAATAAGCTGTACAAATTTTATTCAAATCAGTGTTGTGGTTTTTGAATATTACAGTGGTCACCGACTTAGAAAAAATAGTTTCGAGAAAAACTCATTTTAAAAGTTTTATACTCGATATATGTATAGAAAAATAAATTATTTAATTACTTACACCGAGTCATCTATATTCCTTTGATCAACTTGAAATTTTCAGATAATATTTTTGAGACATTATACTTGAAAATCCTGACTATCCCTAACCCCTAAATTTTTCATTCAAAATTAATAGTAGGTGTCTTCTAAAACCCATCACATTCACCAGTATGACTGATTTCTGTACACAACTAATTTTCATGTCGACTAATAATAAGACAATTTTGATGCCTAGCTATTCCTATTATTTTTTTTGTTCATTTATGTATATTGCCCCCCCCCCACCCCGTTTAGGACCACTGTATCCGCCCTTGAATGATTGGTTAAATTGATTAAAAAAGAAAAAACCTTTTTTCAGCCGAGTCTTAATATTATATTTTTACAATTGATTGTTTTTTTTGCCATTACAAGACTATTATCGACAGTTTGTAATGGTAGGTATATTGCTTTATGAACATCCGTCGATAGCCATAATTAACACACGTAGGTATTGGTCAGTAATCGTTCGCACAAGGGGGGGTTTTTTTTTTATAAAAACTTTTTTTTTGTTTTTCGGATTCGTAAAGGCAGTATTCGTTAAACATAAAAAGCGACACGATCGTCCAAAAAATATGTGTTGTACATACATAAGGTTTCTTTGCATAGCCCGTGAAATATTTTTTAAACTCGCACTTGGTTACATAAAAAAAAAAGAAAAAAAAGTAGAACGCCGTAAGTAAACTCTGCCGCGGCAAACGAAAATATCAAGAAAAATATGTTATCGCGCGTTGGATTTTCCGTAGAGAAATAAAATACAGTACACAACTGTCAGTACTGCGAAAACCACGACAGCCTAGTGACAGCCCCGTACCCGATTAGTAGTTTTGTCGTATTTTACCGGTAATAGTAAAATTATATTTCAAGTTTTAAACGAGGTCATGTCTTTTTCTCGGCCATTAGTGTTGCTGATCGCAGTGACAGCGGCTCTCTGGCAATACGGCGATTCGTGTAAACGTCAAAAATATGCCAAGACATACACGGACGGGCAGTATAAAAAATTACTCAAAGTAGAAACGGGATACCATCACGAACGATCGGTACAAGTATATGCACAACTGAAGGCAACTTCAACACAGGCGGCGATTGATGAGATTTGTGTACATCTACTGTGCAGTTATGTGCACAATTGTAGGCATTACATGAATGTGATCAGACCTCTATGGACCGAAGACGGCGACGATGCGTTATCGCAACTTGTTGACGACAACGAAGAATCCGTGTGGCTTTTCGAACACCGAGTGGTCGACATGTTAAACGTGCTGTATTGTTTCGGTAAAATCGATTCGGTTGATCATTTATGGCTCGTGTACGTGTACGCGAGAACATTGAAGACAATGGACAAACACCTTATACTGAACGACGCGGACAAACGAAGCCATTTGCTGAGCGAGCACGATACCGTTTACGCCAGACTTGGACTGTTCGTTGAGCGACATTGCAAAATCCCAAACAATCATAACGCGTACGACGATCAATACGACGGTTGTTGTTATAGTAGATCTGTGACAATCAAAGAATCCGCGGCCAAACTCGACCGTGTGATCCGCGACAGGATCTCTAAAATAACTAAAACGATGACCATCGACGATTGTAAATTTTACTTTGCGTTCAGCCATTTGCTTTTGAAGCCGGCAATTTTCGATTTCCGCATCTTGAGTCAATTGTTGAATGACTTTGCAGAAATCGCCGACCAATCGGAACGACAATCTTTAGCCCGTCTAATAAAGGACACCTGCTCCGGCAATAAC